AGTTCCTGCAATAAATCAATCTCAGAAAACAAAAACAAGTCGTAGTAAAAAAAGTAAAACTGTGCTGCGTACACGTACTCGAGATGAAAGAATCACAAAAGTACATTAGCCTCTGATGGTTCCCCGGTGGCTGGTCTATGATGAGACAGCACTGCTATTTCTTGCAGATTCGTTTCATCCTTGGAGCTTACTTGTATTCATCTTGAGAAGCATCTTTGACGCGTTTCCCCCTTTGAAAAGGGACCAGGACCAGCGATCTTGAAAGGCATCTTTGACGCGTTTCCCTCTTAGAAAAGGAGGCAAAGATGCTCCATATTAAGATGAATTACTGCAAGCCTTAACATCATCGTAAGCCCACAGTCGCAATGCCTGACCGGTTGAGCAAAGAAGATGCGACTTCTCCCTTGCTGAAGGTAACCACGCTGCATGCGTTGCAGGATAGGGATGCTCAGAGTTAGAGCAAAGTCGTGGTAGTGAAGGAGATGAAGGAGTTTACTAAAAAATGGGGAAAGCCTACTCAGAGAAGGAGATGAAGGAGTTTTTTACTATAATATTGAGAGGGAGCAGAATAAACCTACTTACTTACTCAGGAGCCGTGGGTAGGCTTTTTCCTCCTATATCTAGGCGTCCTGTTCCTCCTATATCTAAACATCTTTTTTCAAGGTAGATGACATTCGAGAGCAGTAGAGGCTATGGAAATGGATATGGGATTAGAAGACATTTTTGCACATAAGCACATCAGCGGTCGTGACTAAAGGCTCCGGCTCAGTTGGTTCTTCATCACCCTCCACATACTCCCTGATCTGCAGCCGAATGTCATGAACTAAGGCCTCCCTTATGATCATACTGTTTTTATGAGCATGAATGCAAGTGCATCTTCAACTACAACTCCGTACTAGTAATTATACAAAATGATGTTGTACTAGTAGCGGTAAAAAAGTGGTTGAACTCTACTCTTCATGCCCATAGATACTGCCATATTTGATGAAAGCAAAGAGGATAACATCAAAGTGCAATATGATGAACGTCAACAGAGTGAAGATCATGATTGAAACTACTGCTAAGTTGTACCACTAGAAAAAGGAGATCAGAAGTTTTTACTTTTCCAACCTATTTTCTATCATAATTCTCAGCTGCACCGATCAGGTAACTGCAGAGGGCCAATTGGTGTCGCTTTGGGTCAGCCGCCCTATAGCTGGACGCAAATACCGGCCAGTCGGTTTCACAAGTAGCTAACATCTTCTCTTGCTTTCTTGTTTGTTGTTGATGTTCAACATGTTGTAGATCTTGATAGCGGTTGTAGATCTTGATAGCTTCCGGAGGATGGTGTTGTCGTTCTTGGCGTTCTACTTGGTTAATATCAAGATCTTGTTCGTGGTAGTAGTTTTCTTGCATTTGTTGGTCATGAAGATCATTTGTTGGTCATGAAGATATAATCGTGGTTCTTGTTCGTGTCCTTGGCGTTCGGGACATGTCTTCCTGCTCTTCACATCTATATAGTAGTAGTTGCACGCATAATCGCAGTGATCGTGCATGTTCAACGAGAATGATGAAGAAGATGTAGTTACTTCTGCAACATCACAACATCTCAAAATGTTAATAAAGGGATCTTAGTTCTTCAACGGATAACTGGACCAATTATCTAGTGGAAAAATTCACAATCTAGTGGTGGTTATAGCCGCCGGGTCCATCGCAATCGAGGATGCGGTCTTCCTTGTAGACACAGACACCACGTTCTTAGAGAGAGGTGCAGTTGATGCCGATGTCGTGCTGCGGTACTTGTTCTGTGCAGTTCATCTGGCTGGAGTAGTTCGTTGTATTTTTAAGCATAGGCGCGTCGGAACAAAAAAGGTGGCAGTACTAGATTCTGCTGGTTTCTCGCGAATAACAAAGTGCAGCACTAGAAGTCGATCGATTACGTGTGGCTATCGAACCACAGCTATCGGTCGACTTCGAGGTGCTAGTTGTTGATGATCTCCGAAACAAAACCGAAGTAGGTGGTTGGACACAGCGTGAAGATAGTCGGCCGTCGTGTGCTATGCTTCTCTTGATGAGCACGTAGTAGAGGTATTCAAGCAGTTGGAAGATGAGAATAGAGTGAACACCAGGTGTTGTTGCCTTGTTCATCTGCTGAGATTTTATCAGCTCAATAAGTAGTAGCTGCCTCCTTGTTAATAGCCGTGGCGGAGCAGACCTAACTAGAAAAAAGAAAGATCAGAGGAAGATAGAAAAGAGGAAAGATTAAGTATCACCAAGTTGCCTACTTGTTCTCAAAGGCATTAAATTTCTTGTATAGAAGTTGCAAATATAGTGCTGAATCGGCTGTCCTTGATTCTGAATCGAAGGTATTTCATACAATTTGTCAAAGGTACTTACACAGGCAATCGCTTCATTTTCTAAAGTTTTGAACATCAACAATACAAAAGCTGACGGGCTGGCTGAGCTTGCTAAAGCTCAGCAAAAAAAATCTGTTGGTTCCTTCACTCATGTGCTCCACCCTTCATTTTTTCTTGGTGCCTGGGTCTACAATTTCCCGCTATAGTCCCATTCATTTTGAATCAACAATACAAAACCTGAGTGGCTGAGCTTGCTAAAGCTCAGCAAAAAAAACGACGCAAAGTTCGTCAGAGCTTGTCCTAAAGGTGCACATTTAGACTGAGTACTTGATGAAGGGATATTGAACAAGATGTTCTCTCGTTTTTTTAGAGCCTAAGATAAAGTTTCCACAAACATCAAGGTTCTTCAGTCAAAACACACGAGACAGCAAGATCTTTGTAGTCGCAAGGGCAACAAGACTGTGACAACTGGCACTCTCCTGTGGTTCTACTTCTACTTCTACCTTGACAACTGTAACCGTTGAACTCGACTATGTTCGACTCTGTTCCTAGGCTCTTCCGGTGCCGTCCTTTCTTCATTAACTGATGTCCACAGCAAACACAGTCTTTCGTAGAAGGAGTGACTCGACATCTGCAATTCAACGGTGAACATCTTCTCCCGACTGAGCTGCTAAAGTCGAAGCACACTGCGGCTATGCAGCTCAGTAGATGGGGATGGCACTTTGAAAAATATTCATACTCATTGCGGCTATAGTCTCAACATTTTTTTGTTTGCGTGAAAAAGGCACCTAGCTCTCGATGAGCAGGCAAGAGAGGATCATCTGATTGTCAAAAGGTTTCTGTATTCTCCTCGCGAAGAATTCGAACAGGTATATTTCATTCTTCAAGGGTTTCTACAATCATAGTTAACGCTGGCATCGTATGCGTGAAAAGAAAATAACAGTAAGTAGTAGAAGTCTCTCGAAGTAATTGGAAGAGAAGTAGACTTCTACTAGCCCTGTCGTGCATGAAGTCTAGATGTAGTCCAACGACTACGACCACACCTGTCACTATTTACTACGCTAGCGTTTGCAATCGATATTTCTGGACTCCAAGTCCTCTCTCCCCATCACTTCCTCATCATACTAAAATGATGGGGAAACGCGCTAGATTGAAGCATTCAGGCTGGGACGCATGGAGAACAAAGAAACTCGGCGGCATCGTAAGCGTCGCCCGGAGCGCATCAAAACAAACAAACAAACAAACAAACAGACAGCGCTTCAGTGTCTATGTCATTTGCAGCTTGCGCAACAAGTCTTCCTGACTTACTCACATCTAACTCGCTGAGCATCCAAGAAATGTCATGTCATAGATCCTCCGTTTTTAAGTGATTCAAACTGTTTAGAGGCCTTTCAGCTACCCTGTACCTTCTTTTTCAGCATGTTCAACATGAAAAGCTTCATCATCTGGAATGCCTCCATCTTTTTTGACTTTTGTATTGTCTCGTTTTGACAACTTCATCATCCGTTTTGCAGTTTGAGTTTGTCCATTCATAACTTACAACCAACTTTTTCAGCATGTTCAACATCAAAAACATCATCCGTTTTCCAGTTTGTCCATTCATAACTTACAACCAACTTTTTCAGNACGACTGGCTCGCAGATGGGACGCCCATCCTTTTGCGAGTCTTGCCTGCACGCACACGAAGGAGGTTGTCGCGGCGCCAGACTGTCTTTGTCAATAGCATTGACGAGGCCAGCTCCCTTCTCACGAAGGAAATCGGTCCAGTGTGCACTTCGTTCCTTTGCTCCATGCATCCCATGGAGGCTCTCTGATCCACGTGGACGCCACCCGCCACTGGATCTTCTTACCTTGGGCACGGGGACCGGGTACGATACTAATCCCGTCCCAAGGTTTTCCATCCTTCTCTTTTGAGATTCGCTGTTGAGTCACAATGGCGGCACAGCGCCGCCGAGCACAGTGATGCGCGAGGCGATGCCGTCCTTCTTCTTGCCTGACCCGGATGGATTGGTAGTCATGCCCTTAGGCTGGTCCCTGTTTTGCGATCCTCCGCATTTTCCTCCTTTACCTTTTCATTTGCCCTTACCTTTACCTTTTCCACTGACCTCTGTCTTCTTTTGAGCCTGCCTGGAGAGTGTCTTCTTTGCCTGTTCGGAGATTGGTTTGGTGCATTGCCACATCGTGTGCGCCGAAGAGCCACAGTTATAGCAAGTGCCAGCTTTATGCTGTTTGAATGTTGCAGGTGGGTCCGTGACTTGAAAGACTTCCTCAGCGCCCGGCGTGCGTGTAGCAGCGCGCCCGTCCAAGTTGACTTTGTTACGCAAGGAGTATTTTGTTTCCTTGACAACATTCCCCAACTCGAAGTCGCCTTTGAGGTCTCTTTGGATTCCCTGCATTTCTTGCGAAGGGATGTCACTCCCGATGCCTTTGAGGTAGCACATTCCTGCAACCTGCTCCATCGTCATGCCCTTGACTTTGGCATATATGATGCGGAAATCTCGCTCCGCGCTGACAACGTTTTTTGAGGATGCCTGGAACTCGATGAGCTGCCAAAAGTCATCCCAGATTTTCTGCTGTTGACGGGGATTTATCCACCGCTCTAGTTCTTCCAGCAGTTCCTCGACGGTTGCGAAGGTTTTCGCCGCAAGGTGGTCGGCGCATTCTTGTCCGATCTTGGTGGACTGTTCGACGCGATAGGCGAGATCATCCAAGTCGAGATGACGCTCATACGTCGCGCGAAACTTTGCGAGCTTCTTGAGCCACATATCGCGCTCCTCAATCTTTTTGAGTGGCGCTATGTTTTGTTCGGCCTTTATCCTGCGGCGCGACTCCACCGTTTTCCACGGTGTTATGTCTTCATCCTCCTCCGCCGGTGGAGGGGTTTCCTCACCCGTTTGCGAGGGGTCCTCCTCTTCGTCCGATTTGGCGAAGTCCGTATGGTTGTCGATTAGGCTACTGTAGATTTCACCGACTTCGTTGTCCTCTTTGAGAGTATTTATCTCCTGGAGGCAAGCANGTTTGCAATCGATATTTCTGGACTCCAAGTCCTCTCTCCCCATCACTTCCTCATCATACTAAAATGATGGGGAAACGCGCTAGATTGAAGCATTCAGGCTGGGACGCATGGAGAACAAAGAAACTCGGCGGCATCGTAAGCGTCGCCCGGAGCGCATCAAAACAAACAAACAAACAAACAAACAGACAGCGCTTCAGTGTCTATGTCATTTGCAGCTTGCGCAACAAGTCTTCCTGACTTACTCACATCTAACTCGCTGAGCATCCAAGAAATGTCATGTCATAGATCCTCCGTTTTTAAGTGATTCAAACTGTTTAGAGGCCTTTCAGCTACCCTGTACCTTCTTTTTCAGCATGTTCAACATGAAAAGCTTCATCATCTGGAATGCCTCCATCTTTTTTGACTTTTGTATTGTCTCGTTTTGACAACTTCATCATCCGTTTTGCAGTTTGAGTTTGTCCATTCATAACTTACAACCAACTTTTTCAGCATGTTCAACATCAAAAACATCATCCGTTTTCCAGTTTGTCCATTCATAACTTACAACCAACTTTTTCAGGAGTATGTTCAACATGAAAAACATCATCCCTGCTTTCCCTCGCGACTTACAACCAACTAGCCCAGCCAATGTACATTTGCTGCAAGTTCTTGTTGTCTTTGGCAGCCTGTATGAGGCAGTCCACTTGTCTCGGGACGTCTAGCGGGACACCTTTGTCCTTCCCTGCTTCGCCGCGTGCCTCAGCGCCCTGCTTCTCCGCCATGGTCTTGTTGGGTCCGGACTCGGCTGCTATCGTAAACTGTGGATGTGCAAAATAAATGGTGTCCTCGGACGTTCAGATTTTGACATGACGAGGTGCAGGAAGGTGTGGATTTCTCATGGCTTGTGGAAATCGAATGAAGCAACTGTTTGTAGATCGATGTAGTTATGTATAACATCTTCAAAATTATATTGTAAGTACGTTCTTCTGTTCCGGCCACAAATCCTTTAGGACTTTAGCTTTGGCGGCTGTAAATTTCATATCCCGGTGGTGGTCGTCGTGAACATACCAGCGATCGTAGGTGACGTGGCCCTCCATTTTTTGGTTCTTAGAAGAAGATGGAACAAAGTCCTGCATTCGTATTGTATGCCATGTTTCTATAGTGACCCGCATCCCTTGCCTTGTATTGTATCCGAATCGCTATAATCCCTATCGCATAGTATCAAAGAATAACAATAACCCCCCCTGCCTTGCTCAAAAATGTCATGTCATGTGTCTCCAATCCGGTTTTCCAAACCAGCGTTGAGACCAGGCCCCGAGGAATTTCTTCCAAGAAGCGTTAAAATTAGTCAACATATTATGTCAATCAAGAATAGGTTGCAAGCACATGACAGCACTAGCCATAATGTGCAGCTCTTTCACTGTCTTCGGTATGTTAATCGGCACTCTGTTTTGTTGCTTCCAGTCCAAAAACGGGTCCGCCAAGAAGCTTTCGAGCACACTCCCTATCGTCGTGCGGTTGCTGCGCATTACCTTTTTGGAGGAAGAGGAACAGAAATCTGGAGAAGATTAGCTTCTTTAGGTTCATGATTCATTTTAGAAGTAGATAGCCGAATTATAGGAAGGTGGAAGGAGAAGAATAACCAGCGCAAAGATTGTTTTTGTCAACCAAAGAGGAAGAAGAAGAAGATGCTCACTATCTTTCGAGAGGGACACGCCAGGATCCATGATTGAGTGAGTGACAGTGTCTCAATAGCTTTAACCTTTTGAGAGAGATATCTATACGCTCATGAAGATTTCCGCTGAGTGTCGATAAAGGCCTTCAATCCCGGTGATTCCCATGGGGGCGATACAATTCTGTGTTAAGCGGAATGGGACCACTTCCGGTTTCGTTAAGTAGAGTCCTTTTCGGAAATTAGAGTGTGGAAAGTTCTTGCTACAAATGTAGTTTGGCGAGCAGTGCTACTAATAGTAGGGATCTCTATCTGATGTCATATCACGGATTGCAGCCCTCAAACTTCTGTATAAGTCCTCAAATAAAAAACCCTCACACTAAAAGTTGTTCTTCAGGTAGTTGATTTAGCAAGCTAAAAAGAGCCGTAACAAACAGACAATCGAAATCGACATGGACTACTGCTCCAGCAACCTGATCGATAAGGATGTTTTCGCAGTGTCTATCGCCTAGCCCCATCACGTAACCCAACATCGACCAACAGGCCAGAGACTTGGTAAACTCGTTTCGTCTTACTAGCCACTCGGAAGGATCCTGTGGTGTGAAGTGTATTTCATTCTTGGTGTGAAGTCGTGTATTTAATTTTAAAGATGAACGCAGAACCGCGGAGGTAAGAAACTCATGAAATGCAACAACATACTGTTGTCTCTCCTGTTACCATCGTTCAGAGACTTGATAGTGAAAATGTGATAACAGTAACTCGCTCACTTTGAGTTTTCGAATACGTAGACGTACAGAACAACATAAGTAATACCTTGGACGTCCGCTGATACCAGAGATGGAAAACCGGTGGATAGCTTGGTAAGAGTTTGTAAACGTAGTCGAAGTAATTCGTTGCCCAATGGGTATTAGAAGTAGGAGTTGTGGAACTGCGATTAGGGCCGCGGGTACTATCATTATATATAACCATTGGGTATTACAATTGCTAAGGACGAGGACTACCAGCATTATAACCACCACTATTAGTTACAATCTAGCTTACCACGAGGACTAGGAATAATCTCATGATCCAGCTTACCTGAACAAGCGTAACGAGCAGTCGATTGCGACGTGGAGACTTGGGCGTTTAGCTTTAGGCGCAGCCCTGCTGATGTGGTCCTCTTATTAATCCACATCTTTTTAGTAGTATCTATGTATAGATACTAGCTCTACTTCTGCCATAATTTGTGCAGGCTGGCTGGATCTTGCTTTTGGATACCTGGAAGAAAATGTGGACAATGTCACGAGTTAAACTTGAAGGCATGATAACGCTCTGCTAGTAAGACTATGGCCTCTTTCAGTTCGTTCAGTTTTGGCCTCCCTGTGTGTCGCCCTGGTGCTCAGTCCAGCTTTTTTTTTTGCGTTAGGACTATATGCTGCCTCCCTTTCAATCAATTAGTTAACCTATATAAGATCCAAATTACATACTGGGGGCGCATAAGACCGCACACTCGGCCACAAATCTACATCTATCGGAGAAGCCGCACACTCGACTCCTGCAGAAAACCTAAGGCGCAACCCGACGCAGCGTGGCCCCAGCGCTCTTCTCGGGAAGGAATTAGTTAGGCGTAGGACGAAATACAAGTGACTGCTGACTTGCTCTTCCTGACGAAGAAAGATGCCATAAAATGGTCAGACCAGCAGCAAATAGTAGTAATTACACCCAACAATTATTGAATTTGAATTTATCAAGAAAAAGACCCTTCTCGTCATCAAGAGAAACATACCTTTTATAATTACCTGCTCTAATGCAAAAATTCTATATCTATTTCTACTATTGGTGTTGTACGTGTTGTACTTGTACTTGTACTACGTCTATAATTAAGTAGTCTAATGTACTACGTCTATAATTAATGTAGCGACTTAGATGAAGGATATACCTTTTGTGCAGTCGCTCCAATTTTTGTTCCGCTTCGATACAGTTTTTCATGGTGTTAGTGTTGCTCACCCACTCCAACAAGCCAGCTTTTTCCGTGATGGGCGTCACCTTGTACGTTCTCAGCTCGAGTTTTCTTCGAGCAGGTTCTTAGAGCAGATGATAATAAAAATGGTAGAACCGGAAAATAGTGTGAACTTTTGAAAATAATGGTGATGAACGGACTAGACAGCGTTTAACAAGAGGACCAGCATACTAATTTTTTTAGGCACTTATCAATCGGTAGCGAACTTTCGAAAACAACGAGTCATTTTCGACATTAACTACTTCTACTGATTTCATTGAGTATATTTCTTGCCTGCTTCATTTTGAATTCGATTTGATCTTCCAATAGTTTGCTGAGAAGAAAACAGTAAGAAATGACTTGTACTTCTAGAATGGAATTGCATTTTTGAGTCTTAACTCTCTGCACATCGACGCAGCAACTTGTTCACCAGCATGCCTAAATCCAGAGCGCGTTTGTCTTTCTTCAAGTCGCCTCTCGATTCTTGCTTAAAGTTGCAAAAAATGGGACGAGTCAGTCATCATCTTCAAAATGAGGACTACAGAGCGAAATAGTGACAGTGAGTTTGCACTTCTTGAGGTATCTTTGGTTACTTCAACAATCAGATTCAGACTAATGCAAGAATTGACTTCAGAGATACTCTAGCACCAGCCGTAACTTCTTTTGCGAGAAAGCTGTAGCCTTTGCCATCGGAGCCGATAAACGTAATTTTTTTTGGCCGAACCTTATCTTTAGAAAGATCCACTAATTCTGAGGACCTTCTATTTAATAGAAATGGGATAATCTTCGTATGATTTCATAATAATTGCTTAGGGAGTTCTGTGACTTTGAGCAAAGTAGAACCAGTGCATTTAGTCAAATCAAAGCTGCATTTTTTAGTCAATATATCGGAGCTGCCTTAATTGTGGTCATGACCGATACTTTGTCCTGTATTCCATGCAGAAAGACGGCCTCGGCCTGTGCAGCTGCCAAAGCACTCGAGAGGTATTAGCACTCGAAAGATGTCTGTGTATGTGAATGCTTGTGGTCTTTCCTTCTGGATTGAGTTTGATATTACTTATGGAAATCTAAACAAATTTACACTGGAACTACCTAAGGTACAATTAAGTACTTTCTTAGAAGATATCTTCACGTTTGCTACTTCTGTGACTTCAACATAACCGTGATCCACGCTTTTTTCTCCACTACTTCCAGACGACGGCCTAACCTGCATAAACTTCGCCAACGGTATCAAAATTGGCTTGCCTACATATGCCGCAGGCGTCGTGGCTAACGAGGAAACGGCGATAATTAGCGCTAGACCTATAATTCGCTCTCGTCTGTCGCGCCTGAGTCAGTGTTGCAAGCAGTTTGAGCAGTTGCTTTCCCTGTTTCCCCTTGATCATTTTTCCCCTTTGTTTAGTCATGAAGATTCAAGGGCCCCTCCCCTTGCTTCCCCTTGATCATTTTTCCCCTTTGTTGAGGAGGAATAATCAAGGGGGTCCATCCCGAACTTGAAATCTTCATGTCCTGAGAGGAAAGCAATCCATAAATCTAAATACGTGATAATATTTTTTATACGTGCTCAGGAACCAGATCGATATTAGCCTTAAGATGAGATGCGACTCGCTCAAAGCAAGCATCGTGGTATTGCAGTCTTTGAACCCTATCAGTTGCTGCAAACCCGTAAGGTAAAAGCAGCGTTAGAGGTGCTGTCTCTACTAGTCTATAAAACATCATCATTGTGTCTCAAATGACACGAGGCGCTTTCTCATTAAGTATGGCCGGACCATGGAAATGACTTAAATTCCACAGCTTCAAAGTCATACTTTTCAGGAAAGATGCCGCACATCAACGGTTGTACTATTAGATCTGATCATAAGGGGTAATTAGTTCTTTTAAGAAGTCTTATTAAAGTTGAAATTTGTACTCTGATAGTTCATGTTGGTCTGAAAATAAATGAAGAAAATAGCCTTAATCGTGTGCCTGAATCAGAGTCGCTCTAGCCTCGTGGCCGTCTTTGTCGGGTTGCTCTTCTTAGAAGCTAAGTTACTTGATAGCTAAAGCAAAGTGACTTGCTAAAGCAACGCCTACTTACTACTTGGGTATTCATTTACAACGTGAGCGTACTTCTGGGGTATTGTTCACTCATATTAAGAACGTGCTGAACTACTTGTCATGTCATGTCATGGATCCTCTTTTATGTGTTATACTAACACCTTCGAGCAGGCCTTATCATAACTACTTATAATTTGGTTATTTAGACTAATACATCAACTATTCGGTAAACGGAAAGAAGCAAGTATATTAACTGATGAAAATTTAAGCGAGAACGATGAACAAGGTGGAGACTCGATCTCGATGTGGATGTATTCTGATAAGAAGAAGTACTACTTCTCTACGGATGACAAATTAAAGTACTCTGAAAAATTCAGAAATACTTACTAGTACTTTCGTCTGCTGATCATATTCATAATGAAGAAGATGTTCCCCACCTCCTCCCTGTCTAGTATGTGAAGACTGGTTTTGATTTGCTCCTGTTGCGCGCGCAGAATTCGTTCCAGAAGGCACTGCGTTGTTGATGTTGCCATTCCTTGCGTTCCCATAACCATTAGAGGAGCTCTACTCGTCGTGGTATGGGAACAATACATCTCAGATATCCCCATGACCTCAGTCGCAGATAGTGCCTCTTATACGTACCACCGGTTCCTGAAGCGGTCGTGAGAAGTGTCTTCGTCTATATTCCAAGAAAATCAAATTTAAGCTATCTACCTGTCAAGAATGAGGTTGACCGTGCAAGATGAAAGGACTCAATATCTTCTGAAACGAACAAAATATTTCTTGACATTGAGCCTTAAGAATATCCCAATGCTCAGTCCAACATTCGACGATCCTCCCTGCTGCGCTTTTGCCCGCGGAGGCATGTTGTCGCCAGCAATTGATGGGCCACAGCATTTGTTGTGGATGCTTCACCATCAATTCTAATAAAATAGTCTCAAACAGCCGAGCTAGGTGGCCTCCGAGCCCAGGGAATTAGCGCTCTCCTCGTCCATACATAAATGTCCTTTTGCGTTCTAGAACATCTATGCAAAAGTAGTAAGAGCTGCAAAACTACATCAACAGGATGAACCTAATAAATAGATACAACTGCTTCAAAGGGATCATGGTGCAGCTTCAAAGGAATCATGGTGCAGTAATCTTCTTCAAAGACGATGCTTCATTTCTTCTGAGCCATAATGGAATGCGATCAATTGGTCATGCAGCAAATACCACAAATGAGTCGGTACTTTGGACCATTCCGTCGAGAAGAGCTGAATGGCCCGTACTCGCAAGGGCAGAAGTTTTTGCTCCAACTCCTGCTCTTGTTGTTGCTGTTGTGGTGTCATTTTTCCACCTGGGTGTCTTTTCGACTGCACGCGATTTCTGGTCAAATTAGAGAAATAAAGTAAGAATTGTGTCAGGCAATCACTCGATCTTATTCTTACTGCTCGCCTGCACCACAGATAATATCTTTATAACAACTATAGGGTTATGGTTATCCACTTCGAAGAACGGATTGTCGATTGGGTCGTGCATCTAGGTCCCTTAATGTCTTACGCCGCTTGCCTAAGTACAACTATTGAATCTGAAGAAGATGGTCCTTATACATTCTGATATCATCCCTCTTGAACTTGATGAGGGTAACTAATGCACAACTACCAAAACAGGTCATTAGGTTTTCCAGTTTATCAGTAACTGCTAGTACAAGAACTAGCTTCGGCATAAAATCTTTCTCAAACTGGTGCTGAGCAGCCCATCTGCGGATGGAGTTGCTATTCTGCCACATTTCCATGAGCACCCCAACATGCTTGTCCCACTCTTGCTCCTTCGCCGACCTCGGTATTCGCGGCTGACCACGGGTTTTCGTGTCATCCAATACTGTCTGCTTTGCCATTCCGAGTACCTCTTCAATCTAAAGGTTGCCACATTACTCCATTCCTCAGAAGATCAAGATCCACGACCTCTTTCCTACTAGAAAGAGAGTTGTGCGGGAACGTGGTTCTTGTGGAGGATGTAACTGTTATTTAACCCTTAATTTATATGGCCTTCACCTCCAGTAGCGTCGTTCTTCAAAATTGCCTGTTTCAGGAGTACTCTCGTTCCCTGTCCAAGCTTTTCGAAATCTTGAGTCACCTCCTCTTAAAGTGAACTTATCTATGCATCCATAATATCGTTGTAGGAATCAATCAGTTTCTTCTGAGGAGAAAATTGAAAACAGTGACTTGACACTTTCATTTCTAGAAATGAAATAGTACAAGTTGTAATAATATAGAAGTCAAGAACTAATAGTGTTGTGATGTTCTTGAGCGCCAGCCTTAAGTGTTTTCTTCGCTATATGCATCGATCATTAGCTTCAGCAGACGGTTTAGGCAAAGCTCCTCCTGTCTCGCCACTACTTTTGAAGCAGTACCTTTCGAGGAGTTGGCGGTCGTAGTACCTTTGACACTACTTGAAATCGCCGAGAAAGAAGAACCTGCTGCACTATTTCCGGCTGTTGGAATTAGAAGAAGGGGTGTTTTAGGGTTCAGTATGTATGCATGTGAAAGCATTGCTCCATCGCAAAACCTATGAGCCTGTAGTTCTTGTATGAAAATAATCTATCGACTTGGGAGGTGGTAGGTGGGCATGCATTTCTAGTACTCGGAGCGAAAGAGAGAGAGAGAGAGAGAGAGTATTGATTCATTTATCCAGACAAGAAAGATGAATTATCTAGTTCATCTAGTGCTAGATACATCATTATCTACTTAGTTCTAGCGCCTTAATGTTGGAGTACTGCTGAGAACCAAAACACGGAAATATTGGCTCATCGTTTGGATCACCAGCGCGCTTACGTCCAAGGGATTCAGGCTGTACAATTTCTGTTCTCTCTATTAGCGCTAGGGTGGGTCCCCCATGCGTGGGTCCCCCTTTAGCCTAAAGGCTGTAGGAGAGGGTAGGTTCCCCTTTTCGATTTTCCCCCTTCGCTTCCCCTTTGAATCAAGGAAGAACCCACTCGGAATAGTCCACATCCATGGGCCGCTAGCGAAAAAGAAAAACTAGCCTTAATTATTGTTTGTCTCGTGGTCCGTTTCTGCTTCTACGATGAGACCACCAGCTGGCCCAAAGGTTCTTTCATTCCTATCACTTTGCTGCTTTTCCTTCGATTTTTGCAAGAAATCATCCAAAAACAAGGCAAAATCTAGATGGGGTCTTGGGGCGTTTTTCTGTTGCTGACAGACGCGATCAAATTTCCACACTCGCTTCTGAGGATCGTCCGAGAACCAGCGCGCAGCTAGCAACTGAGCCTTCCAGACGCCCGCTTGGGAAAGATCATTGAGCCTTTGGGACACGAGAGTCTGATCCACACTTTTCGATGCTACGCCATCCGCGTCTTCGCTCTTCTCACTCAGGGCCTGTAGATGCTTCAAGGCCTCCAAGTCCTTCTGCTCTATCAGCGTGCGAAAAGGCGGATCCTTCGCCAGCGCTTCCTGGAATAAGCGGTTCTTAGCGGGAGATAAGCGCAAAGAATACAGTTGGCTATCCTCTAGGATCGCGCGTGGACGACCGGCTTTTCTGGACAGTTTCTGCGATTCTAGTTCTAACCTGACAACGTCGTAGTTGAAACTGGTCGACGCGAGCTCTTGCAGCGCGACTCTAGAAATTGACAAGGCTAAATCTTGGTCCCCGAACACACGGCAAGCGGACAATCTCTTCAGCAGTATGTCCGACACTCCGCGTAGTCCTTGAGTGATACGAAGTTTCTTATTGTTTGAAGAAGACGAAGAGGTCGTATTATGTCCATGAAGAAGGGGACCCGTTGCAGAGGTTTTCGCCGTTGCCGCTGCAGCTTGGTATTTGGAGACAACGAAGTCGAGATCTGCTAGCGCATGCAACTTCGTCACGGTTATGAAAGAATGGTGCGTTTTCCATCTAGTCAGACCATCCTGGAACTTTTTCCCCTACTTGAAATGAGTGCAGCCAGGATGGAGATGGTTGTAAGACTAAGAATGGACTGCATGGATAAAACATCTTCTTCATCCATAAAAGTGGGATAAACCCGGTCAAAACTATTTTCGCCATTCGATAAGGCCACCTTTTGCAGCAGCCCGATCTTCGCAGTGTCCAAGAGATCATTGAACTTGCCAAACTTCTTCTCATGCACTGCGAGTAAGCATTTGCCAACCTGCACTTGAAAATCCTCGTTGAAGGCACTGCGAGTCAGGCCTCCGCTTGTGGATGCTCCTGAGGCTAAGGAAAGACCCGCTGATGATACTAGGTTTTTGTTGCTGCCTGTCGCATTTGGAGCCGATGCACTACTCATGGTTAGAGGTAGGCTTTCGGTGTTCGTTTAGTTACCCCGTTCGTTATGCCTTGTTTCCCCTCTCTTCAGGAAGGCAAAACGAACGGTAACAAGTAGAACACCTTTGACCTATCCTTAACATCATGGCTTCGGGACATCCTCCTGATGTCGATGAGAATGCACCTCCTCCTCCACTGCTATGCAGAAAGTGTGAGTATCCTCCTTGAGTAGCTGCATTGTTCTGCTGAATGTCGAAATCTCTGTAGTCGTGGGCCAAATAACGTGCATTCATAGCAGCTAGAGTTGCCTGGCAGTCCTGAGCGGCGGCATATCTCGGAGCGCCAGGGAGAATTGGAGAAACCGGGTCAACAGGGTAATCTACTGGGCCTCCGGCTTGTTGGGTAGATGCTGGTGCACCAACTTGATTTTTAGCTTTAAGAAATTGCTGTACGTTGCCAGGAGTGGTTGTACTAGAGATGAGGGGCTTCTTGTTAGAGGTGCCCGCTTTTGTGGTACTAGCTGTAGGCATAGCTGGTCTCGTTGTCTTGATGATGTCTTCCCCTTGATGTCTTCGACGTGCAGAGTCACCCCCCAAACCACTCTGCGCCGCATTACGTGCGGAAGATGGTCCACGGCTCGACGTCTGATCGACTTTAGAACTATTATTTTCTTGCCTTGTTCCACCGAAATCATTCCGAGGATCGCTTTTATTCCTGTACAGCACTGCTTTGTACTTATCCATCACGAGATCTTCGTCGTCTGACAGGAAATTTTGACCCCCTCCCCCTCTCCTCGATGCAGACGCGCTCCGTCGGAGTCCCCTATTTGCACTGCGACTGACTGACGATTTTAGAACTTACTAAGAGAGACCCATCTACTGCCGGAAAGGCATCCGCGAAGCTTCTTCTCCCTTTGAAAACGGTCGCAGGATGCCGGTGAAGATGGATTTCTTGTAGCCTTAACGATTGCATACTATTGGCTGCCGACTTGTGCCTTCGTAGCGCACTGTGTTGGAGTTCCTTGCGAATGCCGCTCGCTAAGATGCGTTCCTCATCACTGTTAAGCTCATCGTGTTCACCATCCTGATCGCCACCATGCTGATCTGCTCCCCCTTCGCCGTCCTCATCCACGACAGACAACCTCGATCCGAGCCGCTTCAGAGTGCGCTTGTTTGTCTTTTTCCTCTTCGTCGGACTGAAAACCACCACTTTGGTGCTGCTGAGGCTAGTGCCAGTCCCAAGATGAGACGAAGTATAACCAATCGTACTTTTCTTAACACGACCATGTTGATGATCTACTTCAGAATCAGCACCTTCTATTTGTTCACCTGCTCCCGCACCGGTCTTCGTAATCCTGGGCGACGACAGATGCCTTTGCAGAGCCCGTTTTTTCGCTGTTCTGTCCACCGCTTTTGCACGGAGATTATTCGAGGCAACGTCAGTCCTGCTCACCGAGTCTTCACCCCGCGATCGTTTTGTGTCTCCACCACTTTCGTCTTGTTGTTCGAGGTCTATCACTACGCGTGCTCGCTTCGGATTCTTCTTGCCACCAGGGGCAGCGTCGTCATGACTTCCCAAGTTCATTTCCTCTGACTCCTGTAAAACAGTCCCAGGAGGTTGAAAAAGCGGACCCCCAGTGTTTGTGGTTGTGCTTGTGGAAGCACCACCAGCAAAACCCACATTACCCGTCATCGTCGCACTCTTACGTCTTGCCGCTTCCAGCTGCATGGCATGTAGGGCTGTGCCAGGTGTGGTATTAGGCAGGATTGTCTGCTGAATCGATGGGGCACCTGCTGGACGCGGTGCTCCAAAAGGTCCCAGCGGACCTTGTTGTGGCAGGAAGTTACCCACTATTTGTTAGAGCTACTGCGGCGCATCGGCATCCCCGAGCCCATTCTTGCGCCATTTTTCCCCTTGAAAAAGAGGCCAAGGGTGGGTGACATGATTAAGGATATGCTTCAGCGGTAGCCTTAAATTTGATGCTGAGCAGGTAAACCAAACTGGCCTTGTAGTGGCATGTTGGATCCTGCTAGGCCCTTGCCACTACTTGCACTTCCATGAGGTTGCTGATATTGAAATCCTTGAAATGATCCCATATTCTGTTGTTGCATTTGCATATGATGAGGCACGCCCATGATCCCGTTGGGATTGCTCAAGCCTCCACCTCCTGCGGCACCATATGGAGCCATTCCCTGCGCTGATCCGTGAAAAATTGACACCACTTGCCCTCCAGGTGGGGGTGCAACTACATTACCAAATCCTCCAAAGTTCTGATACTGATTCTGATGGGAACTACAACTACCCGGTATATTTTGTTGTTGTTGACCTCCAAGAATTGATGATGTTCCTATATTTTTCTTAGGACCACCACCGGCAATCGGAAGTAGATGATGATGGTGTTCTCCTACTAGAACATTGATATTATTCGTGACACTGGATCGTCTACGCTCAGCTACTTGATTTTCATCTTCGAGGTTGAGGCCATGTCCACCATGCAATGTGTCAGCGATGAAAGCCTCAATATCTCGCGTTACCGGATCCGTGCTATGGCCCAACGGCGTCAATGCGTTGTCCTCTTCATCTTGTAGTTTTCCGGCATGGGGAGCTGTCGACGAGCTACTAGCTCCAGCAGCAGCACCTCCTCCAGAAGCGGCGCCTGTTTTGCTCAGAGGTCTTCTCGCTTTCTCGTCTACCAAACAGCCTACGTTTTCGGCGTCTTCATCGAACATTCCTCCTGAGCTTGTATTAGAGGTCGTTCCTCCGACTGTGTCCTGTTTCTTAGAAGTTGTAAGATGTTAGTCTTACAGTGCAAGCATTACATCCGATGCAATGTTGCTTGCAGGGTTATCCGCTCTTAATTGTAGAGTTATCCGCTCCAGCAGGAATAAACGGCACATCCTCCACCGGTTGGTCAAACATATAGTGTCCACAAGGGTAACGTCCTACCGCATCCCGGCGCTCAACGAGGTCGCGTAGCTGATCCCAATCTTAGCAGTACCTAGTGGAACTGTCTAAGCTTTTCACTAATATCTTCTGAGGTAGTTGTTGTAATTGAGATGGAGTGAGTTTGCCTTTTTGTTTTCACCCTTAGAAGTGATACTGATAAAGTACTTAGAAGCCTTAACAATCACTCAATCTCCAAGCTGCTTCGCATGCATATCGGGAAAGTACAAGCGAAGAACACTCTTGCGCGTGAATTGGATCCATGTGGCGCAGTAAAGCTGAGCGCTGTCGTAGAGAGGACACTCGTGAGCTGTCTGCTCTTAGAAGTAGACCTTGAGGATCTACTACTTCGTCGTCATCGTATTTGTTCTTTTTCATGCGTCCACGACCCGGAGTAGTTCTTTTAGCCGTCCCATGAAGGTCGGCTCCTGTCGGAGGTACGTGTTTTGAGTCGTCGTTGTTCATCATCGGAGGCGCCCTTTCATCAGTCAAAAGAAGTACATCGTTACTTAGAGGTACCGATAACTACCCATCGTTTGTAGGAAACATCTTCATCATACTTTTAGCCTATTGTTCCCAGAAGGAACTGACTAAAAGATGGCGTAAAAACAAATGGGGGCTGACGCCGGTACCCATAATTTAGCTGCGTGTCGAGCGGATAACTTACCTCCGAAACCTCCTCGACCAGGGCCTTTTGGGGTCTTGGTAGGGTGCGAGTTCTCAGTTGTAGCGTTTGCGTGTTGACTTAGAGGTAGGCTCCTTTTGGTGTTCGTTTATTCCGTTTGTTATGCCTGTCTCCCTTGTTAGGTGGAGAGCCATAACAAACGGCAACGAGAACACCTTTAGCGTGCCCTTAATTGGCCTTGTAGTCCACGTTCTCCTAGTACAACTTGCCTCGATTCATCTTCCAGAGCCTGTCTTCGCTCAGTGTTGCCAGTGTTTGTCAAGAAGCCTCTTCGGATTGCAGGTAAAGTCGAGCAAACGGACAAAGCATTCTCGTACTGGCGACTAGCTAACATCGACCGCGCAACACCATCCCACACAGCGTGCTGTGATGCTGGCTCTGTTGCCGCTCTTCGTAAATACAAAGCTAAAGCGTCAGCCCATCTTTCTTAGGGACGAGTGGTCGTGCTATAAATTATATTCATCTCCGCCCCCTCATCACGTGTTTGTACCTCTACCTATATTCCGTTTACTCGAGTAGTACTCTAGTATGGAGGAAGTTGTAGAGCAACCAGATAATTCTGCGATAGACGAATAGGAAAAAAAGCTGAGCAGCATAACTTTCCTGTAGCTCAGTCCTCAGCACTTTGGTCGTCGGTCCGGCGGTCTGCGCACACTGGAGAGCCCCTAGGGCAGCATCCGGACATTGTAGAATGCGGTGGAATTAGCACTACTGCAGCGTTGGCGTCCCTGAGTGCATCCTTGGCCGCTTTTCCAGGTAGAAAAATGGCCAAGGATGTCATGATGCACTGGGGGTCGTCTCCATGCGGGGTAGCCTTAATGTAAGCGTTGAAGCTGTAAAGCACTCTGCTCCCTTAGTTGGGGTTTTGTAAACCACCGAGTCCAATAGGTTGTGTGTTGAGACCACTTAAAATGGATCGTCTTTGTGTCCAGCGTTGCCGCTCCGACTAATGGGACGTAGACACTACTCTTAGAGGATGAGTCAGGCTTTAAAAACTTTACTCACCTCGATCTCGGTGGTGCCCACATCTCGACGCCTTGTTCTTTGGCCTTGTTGTATTTCAGGGGAAAGGGATGAAAGGGCATCGAGATGCTGAGAAAAATAGAAATTGAAATTCAATATGCATCTCGACAACTCAAGAAAGTCTAAATAGTACTTATTGATACAACTGTAGAGGCCATAGCCGTTCCACCTTCCGCTGGAGACATCATCTTCCTGTCGTAGTGTGCTTCTGCCTCTTTTGCATCGCGTACATCGATCGGAGGACCCAGACCCACTGCGTTCGGATAGCCTGGTATAGGCTGAGCCTCCTAGTATTAGATAGAGTCTACATGATGTTGGACGCAGTATATTCAGTATCAGAGGAAATGGAGGAAACCGAACAGTGGGTCGCCGATCCGTCGGTCGTCAGCACACGTTTCTTCTTCCACCTTTTATCATAATCATCATCTTCGACGACTTCAACAAGAAGACGACGTTACTAAGGATGAACCAGCTTTCAAATTGTTCTAGCTTCTAGTAACTATTCAAACTACACCGTAAGGCGCTCTCCTCGGCTCATGAGGTTTCGGAGGGGGAGCCATTGCTGTCCAACTGTCGCGGACTAAAATCCGACCAGGTTGCGACCTCGACTCTGCTGGTCCCGAACCTGCGACAGCAGGTAACGTTAGAGATCAAACAAGCAATCTTTCACTTCTTTAAAAATTATATCGTTTCACATTTACTAGGGTCCATTTCTCATTTTCTCTCGGTAGTACGGTAAGAACTATTTTCCAAGTAGAAGAAAAAAGAGAATTCTTCTCTTTTTTCTTCTACTGCAAGAACTACATGAATTGCTGGTATTGGAATGATATTGAGCCTTAATAAAGGTACGGCTCCGTTGATGCAGCTAAAATCCGCGAAATATGTTTGTTCCAGATAGAGCAGGGCTCTGGCATGGTGTCCGCATCTTTCTGCTGCTTCCACCAACTTCTCCTTCGACAACGTATGGAGTATCAGTGTCAGCCTTTTCATCACCTTCAGGTTTCCGTTCAACGCGCAACACATGCTTTTGGCCGTGATGGTCTTCAGCGTGTAAGGACAGAAATGGGGCACTTGATGGCCTTGATATGAAGAATGGCGCCCATTCCATCTAGGCAGACCTTCGAGGCACCCCCTTGTTGCTAAGCTACTTAAACTTATAATATACAGTTATAATGTTGAGGGGCAAAGCAGGGGGAGCCTCGATGGTCTGGCTGCTAGATGCAAAAAACATCATCCATACTTGACCAACATCGTTTTCGGCAAAGTGACTCACACCGATGCCGGGAGGCGGAAAGGGTGTTTCCGGTATATTCCAACCCATGCGCTGCCTGCCTTTCACTGGGTTTAGAAGATAGAGTTATGTTGCACTCTAAGGTATACTCTAGACTTCTAGTATGTCATGTCATGTCATGACACCTCGTTCGTAGCATTTCGCAGCAACATTTGAGGCCGTTCAGTGAAGATAGAACGCATTATATAGCAACAGCTTAGCTAGAAAGAGATCGATCTGCTCAATTTCTATACTATAGAGAGTCTAAGTCTTAGTCATGTCTTAAATTATGGATGGCCAGCATCCTATCCAATAGGGATATTTGATTTGCGCCACAGTTATTCAGCCAAGACCAGAATTAGACCTCTTCACCCTGATCCATTCCATCTCGACTCTCGAGAAAGATGGAAATTTTATTAACCCTGCTAAATATATTTGTATTTCCCCTTTCGTTCCCCATGATCCCCTTGAAAAGGAGGATAGGCGTGTGGAGGAATGGACTCGTCGGCGAAGCCTTAACAGAGCAAATCCACTACCTCAAACACCGCTGCATTGGCCTCCGTATGCTCCTCACGCAACAGACCCTCCAATCGTCTCCTTAGTTCTTCTAAACTGGAGGTGGTGGACATAGAAGGCGACATGGAGGCGGAGGCTGTTCCTCCTGTCAGATTGGCATGTTCTGAGGTGCAAGAGTTTGTACTCGTGTGATTTTTCAACAAGCGGTTTTCTTTCGCTGGTCTCGAAATATTCCGCATGAAACCGCCACCAGCATCGATGCTGTAGTCATTGTTAGAGCTGCCACTCGACGTTTGCATCCTCGACGCCATTCATCTTGGATTCGCTTTGGCCAAGAATGAAGTTTTGAGGATGCTTTGATATGAGCGTTAGCCATAACATTGTTTTGATTTCGAGATGCTGATGTCGCAGACGTTGTGTTCTTGTTGGTAGCCTCAGCTTCTGTCTTTGCCTTCGCAGCCTGAATGAAGATGATCCGCAACAGAAAGGGCGCCAGATATCTAGCCAACTGGTTGTCCTTCTTTACTACTGGAAAACAGGCAAGGAAGATTCGCAACGACGTCTCACTCACAGCCGTTCGCTCCTCAAGGGTCAAGTTCTTTTTTAGTGGTTGCGCTATTGCATTTCTCAGAACGTCCTTGACTTCTTTCCACCTATTGGAAAAGGAAAAGTTGTCAAGCATGCAGGATGCAACGTGGAAGCAGCCCTTAACTTTTCTTTACTCAAAACTCGAACTTGATGTATCAGCCACACAACGAGCTGCCGAAAGTTTCTGCATTGAGTCGTGCTTGCGGCAGAAGTGCTTGCGTACAAACCATTCATGTTTTGTGAAGACAGGCCTCCACCTCCACTTTTGTTATTGGTATCATGAAGGTCAAGCAAGTCTCCGCGATCGGCCACGTTGTCTTGAGGACTGCGTTTCGAGCTCCTCTGGTTCTGGTGTAGTAGCCGGACACCGGATTTTGTGTTCGGGCAGTGTGGTTGTGAATCCGCCGAACTCCCCTGGGCAGGACTACTTCCCGTTCCTGTTGGGTTCTCATGCTGCTCCGCACCTTCCAGCAACAGACGTTCACGTTGTCCACTACCTGAAGGCAGAAAATTAGGCTCCATGTCCGTCCCCTTGTGTGTCAATTTGTAGCTTGATGTCAAGAAAGGAATCAGCTGCTTCTGCTGGTCCCCTGAAAAACAGTCCATGACTCTTTTGTTCATGGCTTTCGCTGCTCGGTTTTTGCTAACTTTAGACCTTCCCTTTATTCAGCTGGAAGCGCATCTCTGACCTCTTTTTCCCGTTGAAAGCGCGTCAAAGATGCCTCTTAGTCTTAAGAATAAGATGAGTAAAAGTAAGCCATAATAATTCCTGCTTTGATTTTCACTTGTGGCAGTACGTCCCTCAAAACACGCAACATCTGCTGTGTGGCGAAGTGATGCATTAGTGCTCACCCTAATCCATTTCCTCGGAGTCCATCCTGAAAGCGTGCGTCTACGTTCCCCCGCCACCTTGAAAGAAAATGTCTCTATAATATAAGATCATGCTGGGAGAAGATGCATGCTGTTGTCCCTGTTACCATCGTTCATGGATTACTAGGCATGAGAGGTTAAGGAAGGTGGATCTTGTTCTTGTGAGAAAATGGATTAGGGAAGGCCTTAAATACACTTTGTCTTTCGACAAGTTTGGCGCCATGTGATCCCGGATGATGTCCACACAGATCTGCCGTTCACTATGCAAAGCGCGAATCCTCTTGTGGTGTGCTGCTATATCTTCAAGCGGCTTCTGACCTACATCATTGCTGCTACGGGAATTTTCCATCAAGCATGCATTCCAAAGCGGGTTACTGCCGACGCTGTAGGGGTACACAGTCGGCGCATGCATCTGGTCCATCCTGGACATTTCACCTCCAGCTAGTTGATGCTGCCTTTGTGCTTGTTTTTTCTTTTCTTCCTGACTTTAGACATTTTTTTATCTCTATTGATTCATCTTGAAGAAGGCCATCTTTGAACTTGAAGACTATTACTATTGTCCCCTCTAAAACAAAGTAGAATCACGTCAAAGTGAAAGATGCCCTCCTTCAAGGTGAATCTTTACAGGTTTTAGGTAACGAGCCTGCTTAATGTCTCGATCCTGCTTTACCATTGCTGCGTTTGCTGCTCGTGCCTCCAGAGTTGTTGCATGACTGTGGATCGGTTCCTCTAGATAATATGTTCGAGTCCACCAAACCAGGAATTATGGGAGTGCCATCTCCTGGAAAAATTTCGTACGCGTAAAAGCCATGGATAATTAGAGCTACAACCGCGCTCGCATCCTCTTCTTCTGTGAACTTCTTTTCCCTTGGGCACTTCTTTTCCCCTTGAAAGAGGGGCCCAGGTTGATGTTGAGGATGCTCCAGCGGTAGCCTTACTGTGAGGATCAGCTGCTTTCGCTCTTCGGCGTCCATTTTGCCTGTGTCGCTGGCTCCAATGCTGATGCCTGTAGCTCCAGCGCTACCACCCGACACGTACTGGGCATTTCCACCAGACGAAGTTGCGCTGGTGTGTCCTCCTCCGCGTGGAGTTGTCTTACTCTCTGACGCCCCATCCTTCTGAGCTGCGCCGTCTTCTTCAGCACGTAAATCAATAGCGCCTACAAGCCCTACAACGCTACCACACAAGGCTTGGTCTTGCAGTTCTTTTTTCGTTGACGTGTTACCTGGCTTGACTAGGGTAGCCGACATCCTCACTAAAGCAGTGAGCATGTTCCGCACCACACGAGGATGCTTCTCCTTGAAGAACTGGAAGTAGTCTCGATCTCCGCAAAACCTTGCATCTAGGTCCAAAATGCGTCTCATTAGATGACCTTACTTATATATAAATATTCATCTTGAATACGAAAAGCACCTTTGAAAACATGCTTTCCCCTTTAAAAAAGGGTCAGAGATCATGCGTGGTTACGTGAATTACTGTCTAAGCCTTAATCTCAGTCGTTGCAAAGCAGCTGCCGAACCATGTGCCGGACGCTCTAAATTTTCCTATGAACAAGCGACAAAGTGTACTCATCGATCCTCAAGAAAGTAGGCTTTTTCCTAATAGCTGGTAAGCAGGAGAGAAGAGCCAAGAATTACAGGCAGTAATAGATTATCATTTACTTAAGCTAATAGGAAAATACTTCTGCCTCGTTTCTTCTTGAGTTGTATGAGTGCACTTTTTCCTGTCATATTTCCATCACCTTCATCATCTTTTCCTCGTATTGTGTGAAGGTTAGGCCATGCTTTTTGCACAGAGCGGCTTGCACTGTAGTCCTGGCTGCCTTCAAATAGGGTTTACTCTTACTAAAGTGCGCTGATGGATCTACCGAAGTAGAAGTCATCGTGCTGGGTATGCTGCCTGTGAAGCCACTACTACCACAACTACCTGTAGTGCTAGCGGCGCCTCCAGTGGCGATAAATGGACTAGCAGTAATATTGGAAGTGCTGCCTGGAACGACGAGACACTGAGGTAGCGACTCCATGATTTCTAAGCATCCGGATAACCGTTTGCCAGCTTCATTTCCTAAGTTTAGAGGTAGCCTCTTGGTGTTTCTGCATCTTTCCGCTTGTTATGCTTGTGGTCTCCCTGCTTAGGAGAGCAGGCATAGAAACAAAAGTGTAAAAACAGGAACACCTTTAACCTTGTCTAACCTCCCCTTAATAGATAGCCAACTATTTCGTTCAATAACAGCACAGCAAGAAACGGCCCTGATTGAGAGCAATCTGTCGAAAAGGCATTGTTGGATCCACTACTACGAGTTGCATGAGATCATTTTTAGAGCTGCTCGCCCCTATCATGATCCATCTTCAGGGGCATCGTGGGCCATCTACTTTTTGAGCTGCAACCTGATGATTGAGCGGAAGGCGCTTGCTTCTTTTTCCCCTTGGAAAAAGCAAAGCCCCTATTTTCAAAGCGCAGCATTCGTTGGCCACTGACTCGGAACGGAAAGGACCCCCTTCAAAGCTCTCCCCTTTCCCTTCGTTTTCCCCTGTTCTCTCAAGAAGGGGTCGGCTCTTCGATTTGAGTGACTCCAATCTAAATGGTGACCAGTGAAAGTTGAGCCTTAATGTGGTATAGTCAGAAGGATGCCAATGCCTGCTCTACTGAAGATGGATTTTTATAAGAAAAAGAGCCTTAAGCTGAAGATCCCGGATCAGAACCGAGACTCTCCTGTCCCGGTGTTGCGGCTGCCATCCTCTGACATGCACCCTGGGTGGACATTCTAGGAACCACATAGAAATTGTCTACTCCGCTTGTCGCGTCAGGTGCATCAGCATTCGCCGGTGGACTCTTAGACCTACGTAGTTTCACGAGGTAGTAGATTTCGTATCTAATACTAATTTTGGATGACAACATATCTTTATCTCTAGTAGAGAAGATTCTCTAGTAGTATGTATCTCATTCTCGCGTGCAATAAGTAAGACCTATCCACCACCACCCTATATTAACGCATGTTGTCAGAGGTGAATCATGCACCAGACGTTTGCAGTTGCTCTAGTACGACGATTCAGCAGACATTTTTTCGAATAAGTCGTCTAAACAACTGGTAGGCGTGAGATGAGTACCTGAGAAAACTGAGAGATACAGGAGAAGAGAGACAAGTGTAAATAAAAGGAGATGACCTGTAGTCTGTAAATAAATCTCCAGTACTTAACGTATGTTGTCATAGGTGAATCATTCACCAGACGTTTGCAGTTGAGTCAACATCTCTAGTACAAGTACGACGATTTAGCAGACATTTTTTCCGTAAGCAAAGAGGAGTTTGCTTTCGCACGAACTTGCTCGCATCTCCTTTCTATGTCTGCGTCAGTCAAAATCCGTCCAAATTCGCGTAAATGATCCCTACGCAGCATGGCGTCGTGTGCTTCGGTGATGCTGAGCAGTTCCCGCACGATCACTGGCACGTCCTTAGAGCTACTAAGAATCTGGATCATAGCCGGAGAAATTTGAATAGTTCATCCTTTACAACTTCTATATGAAATTCATAATAATGAACTCAAGAAGATGTGGAAAAGTGTAAGTAAGTAAGTACTACTATTAGTCGAGACAGACACTGACTGAGTCCGTTTCTGCATCTACTGGTCAGAACTGGAATCGAGATCAATGACGTGTTAAGCGTCAGGTCAATCACGTGTTAAGCGTGCGATAAGCGCCAGAAAAGTCAAGACTAGAAGAGAGTGAGAGCGGAATGAGGAGAGGGGAGAAGTAAATATTTGTGAATGAATATTATGGGCCTCTTAATATGCGGCCTCAGGCGATCGAAACCGGATTTCCAAATATAAATCATCCACACGGTGGCTAGTGGATAATAGCCCTTCCATCGGTCGGTTAATTTTTGCAGGAATTCTAAAATTTTCGCTGTGAAATTGTCCAATTTGCTCACTTGAAAAAAGGCTGCTACCGTTAGCAGTAGTTCGTGAAAGTTGATGTTGTGACGGGAGCACAAGGTTCCATGAGTTGCTGCCATGTTCTCGGAATGGTAAAACGAGCTAGCGGATGAGCCTTCTGATTTAGAAGTGTTATCATCAACAGCTCCTGCATGAGGTTGTCGTGGTACTTGATCCCTTTCTTCATCTTCGGTAGCACTCGCAGTTGCAGATACAGACGTGCTATCGCAAACAGCATCATGGCTCTCTTGATCGTTTATGTGTCCATGGCTTGCTGGGATCGTCGCAGGAACTTCGTCGACCCATCTACACCGCGTTGCAGCTTGCCGGGTTCTCTTGATGGACGGTCTGTTGCCACTAATACCCAGTGCGACTGGATGACTCTGCCACGACTGAACCTTCGTCGAAAGTGTATCTACTTGAGAACCAGTGTATCTACTTGATGTGGCACTCCAACCACTACCACTACTCGACGCTACGGATCGTGTCGTAATGACTGTTTCTGCAGGTGTATGAAAAGACAAATAACGGGAATACTCAATCTCATCAAGAAAAGAGGCACGTTCGAAAAGTTAGAACGTGCTGCCTTGAGTTATAATTTTTCGTGAGGATGAGTTCTTTGTCAAAGATAGGAGTAGTACAATTTTTTCCTCCTGCCATAAGTTGTGCAGGTGTTTCTCCTTCGAGAGGTATTCACCGTATGCCGTATCGTCGTCTCTGAATTCGCAAACACTCTTGCACGATCATAGAGAAAGCATCGACCGAACGTACGTTGAAAAAGCGGCGCATACTCCTGGAACTTCTCATGTGCAGGCGGATTGCATAAGATCGCTTCGAAAATGTCCAACATGTAGAGAAAATTATCTTCGATGCAACTGGAGAGTAAAGTGCTACACGTGTTTGGATCCTTATGTGGTCCCTTTGCGCCTGCAGGTCCACCTCCACCTCCACCAGCTCGTCCAGCGTGATTGTTGTTGTATGACGTCGTATTCCCCTGGCTGTCGACTGTGAAACTATGGGGTCGCTGTTCCGAAGCAGCTGCTGCATGATCAGTTGGTAGTTTAGTTCCTTTTGCATCAGTCTTTTGCTTCTTCGCAGCAGCGCCACCCATTGCAGCAGGACTACGACCTCGCTTGGCATTGGCAGCTGCACCTCCACTCGTAATATTTGCTGTGCCAGTACTAGTTGTTTGGAGATTTGGGTTTTGATCCTCAGGAGCCGCACCGATCCCGCCTTCACCAGCAGTATCTTCACTCATTCTCGCCAACCTAGCCATATTCTCTAAAAGTGGCAGTGCTCTAGCAAGCAAGGTATGCGTGTCCAGGGCTTGCTGTCTTTGTTTGTGCAGCACCAAAACCGTCAACTTTCCAGCATAAGCGGATATGATGTTTCCGGCTCGCACCGAATTGTTGAAAAAATGGGACGCAATATGCTGTAGTGCGGCTACGTGACGGTGAGTGTCGGGATCGGGATAGCACAGAATTTCGTAGAGTATAAAAGGCAGAAAGGGTTCGACGAAAGCCTTCCGTTTTTCAATCAGCATAGAGCCCAAGGTTTCATCGTTAGCGTTACCATTTCGATTTCCATTGCCATTCTTGCTAGTGGAGGACGCAAACAACTCTCTTTCCTGTGTAGGTCGTTCTCCAGCAGCTTGTGCATGTGAACCAGAGAAAGATAATGGTCCTCCAGCAAATGATGAACTACTTGCACCTTGAAGATCATGTCCCGCGAAAACAACTGCCCCAGCTGACAAGGCTCCACGCCCTTGGTTGTTCTTCGTCTTCGCCATTGCATTCTTCACGCTGTCATTCAAAGGCAGCAAATTATCCGAGTCTGCTAACACCGGAATGCCAAAATACCGCAACGGGGGTAGCGGCAACTGCTTTTGAAGCAAAACGGCTAGCAACACAGCCGGATCGATCGTATTGCCCAAATCGCCGAAAACCAAAGTCGTGTAAGCCTGTCTCCTCTGGTAGTTGTGATCGCGGAGGAGGCAAGATGCGAGAGAACGGTCGTCAACTATGGGCGTTAGAAGTGATGACATCACACTCTGTCACGTGCACTGACTTGGGAGTCAGGAATTGGGATTAGTGGATTAGGATTACAATGCAACACAATTAATCTCGCACTAAGTTCAGTGCAGACTGCCACAGGGCGTCGTAGATCAGATTAGACTTGTACGAAAGTCAGTAGTCACGAGTCACATCATCATCAACTCCATTTGGATGCTCAAAATTTTGAAAATAAATACAGTAAATCTTGTGTCAACTTCTCCATCTCGCCTCTGCCTCACGGAGATGCACAACATCAGAACGTCAAATCATGGTTTCACAATATCATCATGGTCTCAACCATAAAGTCAGGAGTTCTGCAATGGTCAATTGCATTGAGGATGCCAACAGCATGAGCTGATACAAGCGGAACGCCTCTACTTCCGACACCAACAATTTGGGCCACTTCGACAATCCCCCTCCACGAGTGTTCAGACTCAACCGGGCACCAGTTTTGCTGCTCTTCTTAGAGCAGCTCGTCCAAAAAATCCATCCTGAAGATGATCCTGTTTTTCCCCCTTTAATACAGGAACGAAGCCTCCCCAACCCCAGGCAGGAACAGGATGGTGCATTAGTTACGAGATGAATTAGAACAGGATGGTGCATTAGTATTACGAGAAGATTAATTATTTTTAGAGTCTATTTTTATATATTAGGAGCACCCATAATATTTTTGTCCGATACTATCGCGGGTCGTGGTTGCGATTGGAGTAATCTGCACAACGCTTTCTGAACTGTGCCATCACGAGGCGCGGAAATCGTCAGGCATCTCGCTAAAGATGGACACAACGTGGCGTAATCGCGGTCCAAATCACGAAGAGGGTTCAAATTCTTGTCGTTCTTCCTGCTGTTGGTTGTACTCTTCATCTCCGTAGAAGTTTGAGTAGCGACGTGCTGCTCCTGTGGTAAAGAATCACTACGCCACTCCGAGATCAAACTTCTTACAACCGCTACTTGCTTATTTGTATTTTCGGGAGCCTTTCTTGACTTTGTTCCGCTTGTCAACAAAATGTCCACCCTTAGATTCTGACACTTCCTTTCTGTCCTTCGTCCGAAAAAGTCTTCGTCACCTCTCGAATGAAAGACGTTGATGTCTTCTTCCGGATGGCTTCCGTTCACAGCACTTTTTACGACGCAAATATCCCTGAGACAAATCTCGCGTCTGAGCATATCACGTTGGCCTATGAGAGAGGCCAGAAAACTGTTCGATTCTAACATGCGGTGGAATAGAGGCGCGCGCCAGTTCAAAGCTGAAGGTGCTAGAAAATGTTGGCCACTTCTTCTTTCCTTTTTGGACTTGTGCCTACTGCGTGTTGTTGAACGGCCAGAAGTCTTATTTGTGGAAAAACTCGTAGAATTCTGATAATGCTGCTGCTTGTTTGTCGTATTTGACGTTTTTCTGTTGCTGCCCTTCAGCCCGCCGTGGATTGCCGCGCACTTGGCCGGCCCGAAGCACTTGGTTTTTGCCCTGTTTTTACTTCCTCTTTGAAACGGTCGACCTGGTCCGCGCGATCTGCTAGGCAGACAAGGCGCACTGTAGCTGGCAGCTTTTTTCATTAACTCGATCAACAGAACTGAGCTGTCAAAAAGTTTAGGCGTTGACGACGTAATGCACAGCGAAGCCAGGCCCTCTGATGCGCCATCCAGAAAGTCCCTTACCGTATTCTGCATTCGTTGTTGATCATACTGCTGTTAGAAGAGCTACCTCAGTCCTCGCATCCTTGGTACTAGCTGCATCCTTAGGAGCCGTTTTTCCCCTTAGTAGGAAAATAAGTGGCCGCTAAGGATGACCACCCGCCTAAGTGTAAAAATATGACTGTGCATGTACTGTAGTATAGTTGTAAGGCACATGATCTGTCCCTTGTAAGTACTCTGTTCGCTAACTTGGAAGTCCTCACCTTAATGTTGCTGTGGAGTTCTTGTCGACTCGATCATAGCATGATCGAAAGTCTCCTCGAACCGAGTCCACAGAGTCTTCAGCAAATGCAAATGCTCCATCGTCTTCGGCGTACTGAAGTCTTTACGACCGAGTAGAACCGTTTTGGCCCGTGTGTTGTGCTTCTCTACGACTTTGACTTAGACAGAGCTCAACAACAGAGCCTAAAATAAAATTCTAAAATTCTTAGATACATAGAGCTCAACAACAACATGATACGATAGCCTTCTAAGGGTATCTATAAGTAGTACACAATTCATCCTGAGCAGGTGGATCAACATGCTGGGAACTTTGATCACGGCTAGGATTCGCGAGGTTAATTGACTTTGTCCCCATGAAAAGAATCTCTGGTCCCCAGCATGACCACTTCTCTCAAAATGGGAGGCCATTCTAATTCTTTTTAGGGGAAGCCTTAATGGATGGTATGCTGTGGAGGCACCAACTGCCACTCGGAAGCAGGAATTCTCTGAAAGAGTTGTGCTCGCCATTCGGATAAGAGATTCGCAGCCCTCTGGAGGGATTTCTCTTCGACAGTATCTGTGATATCATTTCCAACATTTAGTTCTTCACCACGACTACCATTTTTGTCTGTGAAGTATACTATGTGTTGCTTTTTTCGATGATTCCGATCTTTCCCCATGTGAAAGGGAGTCCTATGCTGCTTGGTACTGCACTGCATTTCCCACAGCGTCGGAAAAGCAGGAATGTTGTCCATCACATCGTTAACCCTCTCCAAATCGCAAAACAACATCGCTCTCAACTGCAGTCGAGTCGCCACACGTGCCAAAATCGCCAGGAGCTCGAGTTTTTCAGCGGCTGCTCTTGATCTTGAAGACGTGGCACTATGGGTATGAGCCTCAAAGGAGGAGGTCTCTATTTGCATATGATCCATATTCGAGCCAGGACTAGTATTAAACACTCCTTTATTGTGGTCTGTAGAGAGAAGTGCCTCCATTTCATAGACTAGTTCTTTGTGCAGGGCGATATCTCCAGGCATTCCAGGTTGCACGAAACTCCCAAAAATGTCATCCATATCACTCGAGTCAGAGGGTCGGGGCAAACGGGGGAGGGAAGATTTTCTATTACTATTTACTTGCTTATGGTTACTATGCTTGGCTGTTGGATTTTCTCCGGTGTTGTTGTTGCTGGTGGAAGATTTTGTTCTGTTTGTAGTTGTAGCAGGTCTTGTGTTGCTCTTGGCAAGAACAGCCTTCTGAGGTAGTTGAAGAGCTTCTTCCGAGTCTGAGTCTAGATTGATCACCTCATTTGGCTTTGCTGTTACGCCTTCCATTGGTTGTGCACCATTCGTATCGTTCGTGTTGGTGGCTCCTCCTCGTGCTCCACGAGAAGTGTTGCTGTTCATCTTCACAGCAGTACTCGTATCAATCGTGGTGGCCTGACGTTCATTCTCACCACCTACGTCTTCGTCCTCTTGCATGATCGCTAGACGTGCTTCGACATCGACTCTCTGTGGGTGCTTCTTTGTCGACGCAGCACGACTTGAAGTGCCGACAAGTTCTCCTAGGACCTCCTCATTGACGTTCTGTGAAGATGTCGAAGAGGTAGTTCCCACTCCCACAGGAGCACTCGCCATATAATAAATGTCGTCCTCTTCGGGTAGAAGTTGAGAAAGCATGTCCCCACTTGCTGCTTCCTCTGCAGGGACTCCCCGATGAGTCCACAGCAGTTTTTCGACGCATTCCCACGCTGTGCGCACAATGATTAGAGCAGGCCGGCCTCCGTTGGTGTTTCTGTTTCCCGTTTATTCTCATGCTTTCCTTCGCTTAAAACCCTAAACCCTTTCCTTTTCCCTAACCCTAACTTGAACCAATTAAGGTTGGTTGCAAGTGGTTTCCCTAAACCCTTACTTAGGAGAGTGAAAAGAAACGGCAACAAGAACACCTAAGGCCTACTTCCCCTTAAAATGAACAAGGGAAACGGATCACTCTTCGCGTCCTTGCCATCTAGGAAGGGTTTCACCGCCAGAATTTTCTCCCGCAAACTCGCATGTGGCATCACAGTCAACAAATGGAGCATGTGCTTTAGGTGGCGGCGGGCAGCGGAAGCAGACGAACGCGCAGCTGCAGATGATGTTGAACCCCCAGCTGATGAAGACCCCGCAGAACAAGCTGTAGGTGCACAAGTAAGAACGAAGCGTTCACAGCGCAGTAAGCGGGTGACATTGTCAGGCGTGATCGGTAGGTAATGCCATGGATGCAGAGGCTGACTGCTCTCAGAATCGCGACCACCTCCTTGATTAGCAACCGCAAGCAACATTTCCGACAGTTGCCCACTAGCACGATCGGCGGGGTAGCTCAAGCCACTCAAGAGCGGGTTCACCAGTTGACAAAAATGCACCTTTAGGAAGTCTTTGTAAAAATACTGGATGGACGAGGACGAGTTGTACGATGAAGATGTTGTACCTGCTTGTGCTTGTCCTGCTCTCCTACGGTGGCCCCCACTGTGTTGTCCTCGTTTCATGGAACTCAAACTGGAAGGAGGATCACGAGTAAAATCCCGATCATCCAAGATTCGACGAGGTAAGGCAAGCGCAAATCGGATGTCTGCAGGTTCTAAAGCTCCTTCCTCTTCTTGATTCTTACTCTTTCGAAACGTTTGCCTCAACAGTTTTCGCATACAGGGGTCCACAATCTCCGCCAAAAACGGACCCAGCAACTCTGTCAGCACAGGATGGCGTAATACGACGCGCATAGAGAGACACAACAGCGAGACAAATCGCCATGTTGCGAAGTCATGGCCGAATTTTGCAGGATTAGTTTGTTCCCCCGTTGTTGATATCGCGGCGGACACTGAGCTGACGCTGAAATAACTCATATTTCCACCATCTTGGTGCTTTGGGCGTTTCAGTCTTCCGTCCGAGGCGAATTTCTCCAAATGGCTGCGCACTTTTCCGCGGATCGTTGATGTACTAGAACCTTTTTTAGAAAGGCCACTAGTTGATGTTGTTGTAGTTGTACTCTCGGCTCCACCACCTCCAGATGAAGGTATTTCCTGAGGGAAAACAGTTCGGAGCCAACAAAAATTGTCAACTTCTGAAGCAGCCACGACGTACCACTGCCAAAAGGCGGCAGAGGCATCTCCTACAGCATGATCCGAAATTGCGCCACTGGTTTGGAACAACTTCTTACCACAGATTACCACGACACTTGGTGGAGGTGAGCCAGATGAAGAGGCAGCGGCTAGGCCTACAGCATTTTTACACCCTACCAAAAGCGATCGCCAAGCGTGTACGAGGATACGGCGCAAAGAGGGCCAGGTGGCAGCAAGCTGAGCACAAGCGGACGGTGTTGAAATTGAAGATGTTCTGCTGGAATTACTACCGGCTACTGCTCCGCATTCTTCTTCTCCTCCTCCTCCTCGTCCTACTACTTCGTGTCCCAGTCCCTCCATCATGACATTGTCGTAATCCTTGTCCTTTTCCTCCGAAGCATCTTGTTGGTAGAATTCAAAGCAGGCTCTCGAGGCGAAAGGTCCTAGACGGAGGAGAATCATAACCCACACATCGCAAAGTGGAGATCCTAAACGACCCAAGTAGCGCTCATACAGTGCCGCAAAGTGCTCTAGAGTGGTGGCATCTACTTCACAGGATTCCGGATCTAGGTCCGTGGTGGAGGTACTACCATTATACCGCGTTCTCAGCCTCCTCGCTAAGTAATTGCCTATTCGTTCGAGGAGATCGCAAAGTCGGACATTTAGATCCGGATCCATTAGGCGATCACCGCTGCACCTTGTGATCCTGTTCAAAGCTGCTACTCCAGCTTCGAGTACCTCCGCGCACAAGCGTGGCGGCTTGTATTAGACCGCTCCCCAGTTCATTCCTGTGGAAGTGAATCCCTCAAGCGTATGCGTCAATATTCTCCTCGTAGCTATTGGGGCGCATAGTACGTTTGAGGGATCCACCCTTTAGAGATGGATCAGTGGAAGCCTTAATTGTAGGTTGAAGATGATGTTGGTGGAAAAGTGCCACTAGTACCTCCCATGATATGAAGACTTTCTTCTTTTTCAAGTTGTAGTAAAGTCAACAGGAAATCGATCACTGTCGTCGCGCATCGTGGAAGGTCAATTGGGGAAATCCATTTACGGAAGTTGCAGCCTTCCCAGTCACTGGAGGTGAAATTTGTGAGAAGTTGCAACGATCTAACTGCGAGGCAGCGAAAAGTTATAGCATCCTCGAATCCGTGTGCTTCACTTTAGAAATGGAAGGGCCCACAGTCACAACAGCCAGTCTTGAGACCCATCTTGAAACTTGGAGCTCCTGTCGAAGCACATAAAAATCTTGAATTGAATGCTGGAACCACAGCTCCAAATAGGAAACTCAGACGGTTTTAATCAACTCTCAAGATGGATTACGATTAGGCGGGATAGAGGTGCAATCTCAAGATGCAATCTCAAGAGCCTTAAGTGCACGAAGGCTGCTGAGCAGGGCCAGACTGGTCAATGGCGGTAACTTGCTGTCTCAGATGCCGAAAGGTCTCCGAGCGAGCGATATTCTGCAATTCCCAAGCTTCTTCGTCTCGATCTTGATGATGCTGTTTCTGGTGGTCTTGTTGAGTCATATTTTGTTGAGCCTTATCTTGATTCCCGTTTGTCCGCGCTTTTTGTTTTGCCACTTGTTGCTTGGCGTTCGGAATTTTTCTAGTCTTGGTAATAATATCATAGTCCCTCGACAATACCCCTGGCGCCGTTGACACAACGAATGCTTGCATGCCGGCTAAAAGCTCACAGCAGTCGCAAATTAAGGCCGAAAACAACATCGCGGCATCCAAAAAACAGGCTTGCATCATTAGTGACGTGATTGCACTAACAAGACCATCTTCACGCGAATCGATTCCAGTGCCAGTGAGTAGGGCAGAAGATCGGTGATCATTTTCCGGCTTTCTTTGATGTCCGCAGCGGGAACTATAATCTCGTACTCGATTGTTCCCCTGTCGAGCACCATCTACAGCACTCTTTTGCCCCGCACCGTCCTCACCATCGAGATCACCGCTCTCCTCTTCTTGTAACGGATACAGGAATAAGGATGCTTCCCTGTTGGCGGCAGCGCTAGAAGTCGTGATGAGGATTCTTTTTCTTGCGAGCGAAGAAGCTGCAGTATAACCACCACGGTAAAGCTTTCGATAGCTCGGCAACGCACGAATCGCTCCAAGGAGGATCTTTCATGAAGGATGGAAATAAAAACGAAAAAAAAAGTGAACAACTTCTGCTTCTCTTATTAACCTCAATAATCTACTTGCCACTGCTCCTACTAGCAGATGCAAGCAGATGACTGGATCAGCGTGATGGTGAAATCCAATCTTCTGTTCTAAGCCTAAGGCTATACTATAAGCAATACTTCTAAGTAATACTTCAGGCCTTTCCCCTTTCCCGTAATCTGTCTCACGGCCAATACCATAGTACCCCTTCTACACGCAGCTTATACGTTAGTCTTAGTAGGTGTTCTTCAGAAGACGCACGAAATACGGATCAAAGAATCTACGCGATATCATAATCTACCAACCACCGCGACATTGGTGAGAGGAAAAGACCATGCCCAAAGCGAAAAGAGCTGCAGTGCGCGGCCCAAGTCCTTTTCTGCTTCAATCCGAAATAGTGTGTTCCTCTTGATCAATAGAGGACGGGTACGGATTTAGAGAGGTAGAGAGAGATAGATAGAGAGATATATAGAGATAGATAGAGAGCTCCCTACTTGTACGCCTAGTCCTCAAAAACAGGATAATGACTGATTACTTTTTCAGATGAGTAGACATAGTCATAGATAGAACAACATCTTCGCTGGATTTTGCCTAAGTAAACAAAAATCAAGAACGAGAAAGTTGATACCCATACATACGACAGACAGGAAGTGACGAAGAACTTCTACGCTATGTATCATGGTTACTTAGAAGCCTTAAACATAGACATCCTTGCCACTGGTACCGGTAGCAGAAGAAGATCCTCCAGCATCAAGTCCTCCTGCAGCTTGCTTCTCTTTCTTGTATTCCAGAGAAAACTGACCTGGCAAAGAGCATCTTTGATACTCTTGGAGTTCTGGAAAATCACTCAGCTTTTGGTAATAGCTCTTTAATCGTTGCAAACGCTCTTCGGGTGTAGTTCTTGATACCGTTTTGGTCTCCTTTAGTACGTCAACTACGGGCTTCTCTCCAGAACAAGACACACCAGATCTTACTCCACCACCTCCAGCTTGTTTTCCGTTCTCTTTCTCAGCAATTGTGCCTGTCCTACTGTGGTCTCCTGTGCCTGTCCTACTGTGGTCTCCGGTCTCAGCAATTGTGCCAACACCTCCAGGGTGGTCCAAAGCAGCACTATATTCTTTTGCTAATGCCAGTCCCTTTGCATGCAGTTTGCGACAACTGGTGGAGTCGTCCGAGAAAAAGGTGAAGAGCAGCCAAATTAGGTCGTTCGTAACAAAGGCCTTCTGCTTCTCTAGTCCGAGATGGTCTCTGCGCCGAAGTAAAGACTTTTCCAAAGCGTCCAACCCCTTCAAGGCGTTCTGCGCCTTATCCTGCGCAGACTCCTTCGGAGCGGTGCGCGGAGGAAGACTCAGAGTCTCCATTTTTTTGCTCTGAGTTTTCTGCTAAATAGTAATAGGATTTGAAGCAGAGAGCGACAGAATAATGCACAAGAACGTACTACATTTCTACAGTATTAATCTAAGTAGACAGCTTGTTCAAAATATAATTAGGTCCGCGATAACAGTATCGTCTTTAACTCAATGAACAAATCTGCAAATCTTCTGCGACAGCATAGTCATCGTCTATTTCATGATTCAATAATATGTGGTCTATGATTGTTTCTTCAGAAATGTGGTCTATGATTGTTTCTGTTTGAAATGTGGTCGATGATTGCTTGAAAAATTTCGTCGTAGACAGCGTAAAAAAAACTGCCCAAATTGCTCAAGGTACAAACGTGCCCAGAAAAGCAGACCGTCCCTGCAGACATCGGCATAAAGCATAGCGAAAATCGTCAAGATACATTGATCCGATGCAGCCAAATGATCATGTTTGTTAGTACTAGTAGAGTATGATCACACCTGGATCTTCCAGGTACTGGCAGCCACAGAAATAGCTTTGGCTTTTTTCAGTGATACCACCAGGTAGAGGAGGTTGCTAAGAAACATCTTCTGGTGTTAGTAAAAATGGTAATGCATGACGCTGATGACTTTGCCATCGTCTAACTTGTCGAACACAAACACACGCAGCACGCAAAAAAATGCACAAAGCATGAAGGTTTTTCGAAGACTTTTCTTCTCGCCACAAGGCCCAGGCAGCTTTCCGTGTTGGCCACATAATTTTCAGAGACCGTAATTTTCCATGGAATCAATCCAGGACTTCGACAAAAAAAGTAAACAACCATCCAGGAATGGCACGTCGAACGTTCTACCAGAGAACTACAGAGTCCTCCTTGTCTCAACAAATAGACATGACCATGAGGTGTCGTTTTTTATACTATCTAGGCAACAATCAAGAAAACAATTATACCCGCTTCTTCCACAGTGTGTTGATCTCATTTTTCCAACAAAGCGTCAACAATATTATTGTTTTTATGGGAAATTACCACCACCACAAGTATTCACTTCTGACTGAGATGATTCGATATCACTAAGAAGTTGCTGGGTTCGAAACAATTTGGACTTTTACTGGATGTAGCAAGTTATTACTTTGTCGCACAGCGTTTCGTTAGATTTCGAGGTTTAGGTCGACCTTCGTCTGCAGCTCGAGTGAGGAATGAAGTTCTTTCCATGAGAAGTATCAATGTAACTACGATTCATCCCATGCTGCCGACTCCCGAACGGAAACTTGGAAAACTTTCGTGTGGCAAAAAAAATGACTTTGCCGCTGACTTCTACCAAATATACATGAACTGGATACCAAATAAACATGAACTGGATACCAAACAAACATGAACTGGAACTACATGAATTACGATTATAAATCCTATTGTGTACGACCATCAAAATAGCTGCAAACCTATAATGTATCTATTTTGTTTAGATAGTGAACGTTGGTAATGTATGTGTATGAGTGTGAAGGAAGTTCATGAAACATGATATGCTATACATTTTATGAATGTCGTACTAGTGGGAAGAGATCTGTGCCATGATGGTGAGTCGTGCATCGATGGGTTTGGTGCCATATCGTTTTATCGTTATCAATCAAAATCAACATATTTCGTAAATATACATAAATTTAGATTGAGTGTCCTACAGCTAGGGCCTCAGTACCTACCTCTCGAATACCTTCGCCTCATCAAAACAAATTTCTACTGCTGCTCCTGCCGATCAAAACAAACTCCTACTGATCCTAGCCAGGTTCCAACATGCGATTACACGCAAAAGTGCGGAAATTACTACCAGAAGCACCACTGTGAACCAGAACCGTGGGATGTAGCCATTGAAGCCATCAGTCTCAACTTCGTCGTCCTTCATCTGCATCTTCGTCGTCAGAGGGTTTTTCGAGGGTTAGAGGTAGTGGGTAGACACTCATCTCGCCTGTGTTCTCTTCAAACAACGTACTAGTTCATGATCTTGTACATTTTGTATCTATTGAGAAACTTAATATGCCTTGGGAAGTTCGACTTATAGAAGCACAGCATCCTTGACCTTGTCGACGAATTTTCGACTTGTTTGCACTATATTTCATAACAATACAGCGTGGTGAAGGGATCCCTGTGCGCTGTTTCCTGAATGTACGCTTCTCGTCGTGCCGCAAAAGGGCTGCTGTCTCCCTGCAGAAATTAGAGTTTAATACCTAAATTCAGCTCTAATTCCATGATCATCTCCAAGTCCGTCATTCTAGTAGCGTTTTTCAATTGAGAGCACCCCCAGGGGAATCAGATATGCCAATGCCTGCTGTTAAGATGCATTAACATAACGGGTTCAAAATATTAATAAGCGTGAGATCTATTAATCCACAAACGCTAAGCAAAACCTTAAGGAAAGGAAGATGTGCGGATGTAGTCGAATTCGAGGTCGCCAGCTATGGAAACCGCATACGCATGAGGAGCAAAGAGGGATAACCATCGGAAGGCTAGAGGGATTTCTCCAAGAGGTTGCATCACCGAAGAAAAACACTCAGGGAAAGAGTCCAGAATTAACGGAGCAAGAATTACACCTGTAGTCCGTGGGTCGGTAAGGAGTTAGCGATGAAAACTGTAGCTCTATTGCGGAGTAAGGGGTTTTCAGAGGTTTCTGGAACTGATGTCTTATTCGTTGTACTTATTGAATAATATTCGTTCCAGTCTGTGAAATAATTTTTCGACCAGTTAAATCTTCTAATGTCCGAATGACAATTATCAATCTTGAAGACTTTACTACTAAAATAAATAGTTAAGTACTAGTACCCAATCCCGCTCCCGGAGTGCCTGCACTTAAGCAGGCAAGCAAAGTACCCAGAGAAGAACCGGCTAAGGCGATGGAAAAGTTGAGGATCCAATGGTGCACAAAATTACTCTGCATTCCGTATAAGAGATAACAAACCAGAAGCAAGGACGTAGCCGAGATGAACAGAAGGGGAAGATCAGCCAAGAATTTCGCTGTCAGGTACGCGCGGACTGAGTACCTTGTGGTTGTGCAAAGTTGAAATGATTCGGTGTAAGTTAGTAAGACTTGATGAAACTTATTGATTCTCTTCGTGTTTTTCGTTTCCTCTATACATCACGTCGATAGCACCATCGAAGGCCTGTCCCGACTCGTCACCATTGGGTTGTAATTCTCAGAAATGTCAACATGTTGAGGATGAAAATACAGGACACCAATTTAAAGAACCTTCTTACGTTCTAGCATTGTATTCCCGCAGAAAAACGGGTCGCTCCTGCGGTATCTTCAGCATGTTTGGCGCGGCTGTGGCCGCTAAGGTGATAAACAGACAGTGATGCATGGCACCCAATACCGCAGTCATCTGGTTCACCCATTTAGCAAGATCGGTGCCGATGATTAGAGGGAATCATGGTAAAACACGGATTGATGATACGGAAAAACAGATGGAGGCACATGTACATTTTCTCTACGGATGTCCTAACTGTACGGCTTATCAATATTATCACTGAATGTGAATGCGTGAATATCTGTTCCACCAAAGCATAAAAACGGTTCTCCGCGATTGTTTTCGCCTCTCGACAGATTGCGTGCGGCACTGTAGAACACAATACCGTAGCAGGAGCATTGCAGAAGCGGAATCAGAAGTCGTATCAGTTGTGCTTTTTTGTTCCTGCACAACTCTCGATTTTCCCGTCTCCATAGGAAATAAACTTGGACACGGAAAGACTGGAGTGGTAAGACGCGTATTGATGTAGTTGCGGTTGCCTGTTCACCAAAGAGCTGCTTGTTCTGCTCTACTTCACCATCTTGCTGGTCATGCTTCTGCAATGCGTCAAACTGGTAAAAGATCCTTGTCAGTTGAGACGCTTGTTCCAGTTGCTCCGCTGGTAGCGTCTGCGCCAAGTACAGCAGCCAATCTGCCATATTGTCTCCGATCCGCAAGGGCTGACGAACATGGAACAGCAAATTCTCGATGGTGCAGAGGGAGAGAAGATGAAGGAGGAGAGGAGAGGGGTCGGGGGGAAAAGATGAAGGAGGAGAGGGGTCGCGTCTCTTGGTCAAGTCGGTTTTTGGTCAACGATGAGTGTTCTCCAGAAATAAAAGTACAAGTACAAGCACAACTATGGTATAAAACTTCGCAAAATCATAAGGAAGACTTCGTCCCACAGAAGATTTCCGTTCCTTCTTCATGGTTGTCAACATTGTGGTGGTTCTAGGTGACGTTCTAGGCGACCCCATTTTCTCGGATCCACTAGTACTTTTCCTTTTTGACGTCGTTTTCTGGATAATCCGAGAGCCCCTTTCCAGGAGAGCATGCTTTTCTTGCTCAGACTCGGACTCGGGAGAGGAGTGGGGATTAGAAGTTGTAAGTAACAGAAGTAGAGACGAACGGGAAGAGTTAGACTAGGATAGGATCATAGGAGGTGATTCGCCGTCCACAGTTTGACCTGTATCCTCGGGCGAATATGTGCAGCCGCAGAGGGAGTCTACCTGAGTCAACTTGTTGACTTATAGGTCAGTTACTTGGTAAGCTTCTCCCTAGATCTAGAAGTCATCAACAGTGAAGTCATCAACAACAGTTAGTTGAGTTAACTTGTTGTCGTATAGGTCAGTTACTAGAAGTCATGAATTCGTCATTGCTTTGATCGAAAATCTTCGTAACTTGATCGTCTGTTCCTGCATCGTTTTCGTCCGCATCGTCATCAGCATCTTCTTCAATCTCCTCTTGCTCCCGAGCCTCCGTTTTTTAGAAGTAGACAGATTTCCTAGCATCATCCGTAGAGACTTTTGCCTGCAATTTTCTACAACAACAGCTAGAGCTACTTTCCAATCTCATAAAAACCCTTCCGACCACGTGAGTTCTTCAAGATCAACCGGCCAAACGCTCGTAGATCGCGGATGACAGACCCTGCCTGCAAAGCACCACAAAGAAGTACGCGGCCTGTGCGGAGACAGTAAACCCGGTCAAACATAGAGAATAACTCGAAACGTTAGAGATGGAAGACATCGGTCGTAGACTAGTAGTCCTCCCGAATTACACAAGAACATTATGGCCATTTCTTTTGATGTACCGGATCAGCGATCCCCCCTGTAATGTGCTGTTGTAGCTTTTACTCTCTTTCTCCTATGAAGATACATCTACATCGAGTACCGTATCAAAAAATATAAACACGACGATTGGGTCTTGTAAAACTAAAACGTCACTCTCACTTGTTAATATGACACTGACGGACCATATAAATATGGCTATGGTAAAACGTCACTAATATTAACACCGAAGAACAGGACCATATACGATCTAGCAGGTCTTGGTCACTTCAATAAATATAATACCGAACGTCGTGGGCGTGGCCATAAGCACTGGGCTGATGTATGGTGCAGCACATGATGTTCTGCTCAGCGCGACAGATTTCCCGTAAAGACCGGATCAAAGCCAGGCTGTAGAAGGAGTCTAGTCCACTAGTAGGCTCATCCAAGAAGAGGATCTCGGGACTAGGGATTAGAGGGGACCTACTTTTTTTTGTATTTATTGCCAGCTTAGTTACTTCGTTTTGTATTTATTCAAGTCAAGTCCACCTAGTTTTTACTTCGAGTACTACCAGTACATGTACAACATGTAACACTCATTCTAAGTACATCATCTCCGACTACATCCTTACGCCATCAACACTACCTTCAAATGAAACAAAAACAAAAAACCAAGAGCATGAAAACAAAAAAACATCTACATCATTTTCATCATAAGGTCAATAGCTCGATGGCAACGGATAGTCGTTTCTTCTGGCCGCCACTGATGCCTTTGATCAAATGGTCTCCAACGAGAACGTCCCGACAACCTTCGAGGCCAACCAGTTGCATCAAATTAGAGGCTTTCTCTCTTCTTCAGTGAGCACTAATGAAGTGTCTGAGGTGATGCGCGTTCTCGCAGTTAGCCTTGTGTAGTAGCGCTGAAGTCTGGGTTAGCCTTAATCAAAGATGCGACGCGTTCACGCATCCGCTCCTCACTCTGGCCAACCAGTCGCATCCTAGCTGCGAAAAGAAGCACTTCGCAAGCTTAGAGAACAAAAGACATAAAGCGGAGAAGATTATGGAGAAGAAACACAAACAGAAGCAATGTCATACGGGTGCCCGCCCTGGTATGGCCATGCGTGAGCGTGGCCAACCTTACCTCTTCTACTAGACACTAACTTGTAGAACTATTTCAATACTACTTTTGTTGTTGTCAAATCAACATGTAATCTTGATGGCCTAAGAATCAAAGTCAAAATCAATAAATATGGCTTTGTCTTTCACGACCACAACATAATATACAGTCTGCCTTGGGTGTAGAGCGTCTTCCTGCATGACGTAGGACACGCTTTGTTTCAGTGTCTCTTGAGTCAACAGCTGTGACCCATACCGCACCGACCCGGTCAAACGGAGTGCGCCTGGAGCCAATGTAGAAGCTCGTTGTGCTAGTGCATTTGTAGTAGACTGGTTACTGATATTTGCTGAAGATGCAGGGGCTGTGCCACGTATGAAAGAAAAAAGTGCACTCAAACTCTAAAAAAGTGGCTATTTTACTACATAAATCATAGCCGATTCCTTGAGTGTGAGTGCACTTTTTCGTTTCATACCACGTGTTGTAGTGCTATTTCCTGTGGCTCCTGTACAAGTAGTTTCGTCAATGTTGCACCGCTTAGTCTTTCTCTTGAAAACGCCTGCCCTGTTCTTGTAGTGTTCATTAGAACTGAACTGACCACCTGCTTAATATGTCTAATATTGTCCTCGTTGAACGATTGAAATAAATGTTTCTCATTCAAGGATTTAGGGAAAAGGAAAACTCTGTTTCCCGAATGCTTTTCCTTATCTCGCGTGAAGATGCAAATTCTACTTAGTACATTGGTCTTAACTTGTTTTCGTCCTCTGCGTATCGTAGTTCCCTCAGCATTATCTTCCATTTCGATTTCGGAGACTGAGGAATAGGCATCCTCCTGGCTCTCCTCGTTATCCGTCGTAAGCTCAGTACAACTACTTGATGCAAAGACATCCGAAAGACCTTCGCTACCGACGCAGGATGTTAGGTTACTCGAGGCACGCGAGGACTCACTTTCGCTTGCCGTAGTTGTCGCGGCTGAAGAGGCGGAAGACGAGTAGCCGTCAACCCCTTCTTGCCTCACGTTTTTACCCATAGTACCCTTAGAAGATGTCTTGTACATAGTGCAAGTACCCTTAGAAGATGTGGATGTCTTGTACACCTTCGTGTTATTCTTGATATTAGTGGCAGTAGCAGAAGATGTTAATGGTCGTGAAGTTCCTTGTCGTAGAGCAGCAGACGAAGATACCAGGTGGTGAGTCCGAGTTGGCGAAGATGGTGCTCCTTTGTCTACAACTTGAACGTTGTTATCAACATCTGGCTCATCATCGTTTTGTTCGGCATGATAGGCATCAACGTGATTGTCGCAAGGATCGTAACAACCCCAGTCTTGCCTTCCCGCTACCATTAGAGCTTTCACCAGCTGAATAAAAGCCTTCTGCAGGAGGATCCTTTCATAATGTACGAGTTGTATGTCTATGATGTTCTTCATGTTGTACTCGTACGAGTATGCTGTACTATTAATCAATGCTGCAATCAACATAGTGATAGTGTATGACTGTCAGAGTCAGTATTTAGTTGTAGCCTTAACAAGAGATTCATCAACGTGCTTTTCCCAGCTCCGCTTGGCCCGATAAGCGCACACAGCTCTCCCGGATGCAGCCTGCCATAGCACCGATCCAATATGGTCTTAGGATCTTGATTTGCTCCACTCCCCACTTGAAAAGTCAGATTTCTCCACTCTAACGAGGGCTTACAGGACTTTGTAGTTGTAGTCGTCGACTTTTCTTCCTTTTTGTTTGAGGAAGAGACGTGGTCTTCTTGTTGGAGGTTCTTATGCTGGATTTTTTCAATTTCGTTCTGGTGTAGGTTGTGTGATTGTTGTTGATCATATGGATATGCTTCCTCTGCGTGCTCCTTTTGTTCTCTAGCGTCGATATTTTTTGCAAGTTGTTGTTCAACATTTCCATTTGATTGATACACTTTCTTTGCTGCTCCTGTATGTTTCTCCTCAGCTACAGCTGCCAGAGTCGAACATTCTTTTTCTCCGGGAGTGACGTGCTTCTCAATTTCATCGCGCTCGACAATCCCTGACTCGGTGCTAGTGTTCACATCCACGTCCACAGCAACGGCATCTTTCTTACGAGTCGTAGATTTTTTTTTCCTTCCCAACTGTTCTTGGATCCATGCATCCTCGGTCCAACTCGTAGCTTTCTGTAAACTTAGAGGCAGTGGGACAGCATCGTTCTGTAAACTTTCAGTCACGTTCAAATTCAAATCGATACGTGGTTCGTTTCTTAGTTTTGGTTCTCAACGAGGAATCCTTCTAGTTCGAATATGCTTCGTAGTTTGAGTTTTCGCATCCCCCTAGGACGTTCTAGCGGACAACCTCCCATTATATCGAAATCTATTACTATTAGCCGCGATAGTATTAGTAAGTACCTCCATCTCGAGTTTGCTTCTATTAAGTACTTGCTCATGGTGCAGAGGAGCCTTAAGACTCTTCGTTTTTTCTGTCTTCTCAGTGCTTCTCGAAGCAACTGCGTGCCCCGTGACTGTTGCGGAATCTTGGATTTGTAGGATTTACTGTAGGATTTACTGCCTTGCCTTTCTAAACCAAGTCTGGACGCTTGTTTTATCGGTTTCTCCTTCGTCCGCGTTTTCCTTCTCCTGTGGTTAGAAGACCTTATGGAGTGACTACTTCCACAAACAATGTCGTACTCGTAGGCTCCTCGAAAAAGATTATGTTAGGTGGATCCTCACGCTTACGCGAAAAAGACAAATATCATGTCATGATACCTCATGGCCCATCCTGTCAAATGGGATTGAGGTTATTTCAGCCAACTTGTTGTACTTACCTTCTTAAAAGAAGAGCAAGAGGACCGAAGGATAGACTATCAAGTAAAACCAAACGTAGCCACAATATGATTACTTACATCATCAACAACAACACTGCGTGGGATACACTACTTCGTCAGAGTAGTACAGCGAACTTCTAAAAACGCAAAACGAGGTAACGGTTTCCTGAAAGTAGGGGGCCTTAACTTCAGTTGTACCCGGCGTCTCTGGCTGGCCCCCACACTCTCTCGAACGAGAGGCGCACTCTCTAGAGCGAGAGGGATGGCGAGAGGAGGAAGGATCACCTGTCATCTTCTTGCTTCGCGGCTTCGCAGATTCAGATGATAGAAAGAACGAGAACAAGGACCAAGAGAAGTACAAGTCAGTTGAAGCACAAGTCAGTTGCAGGTAATCAACCTAGACTCAGCACTTCCTTGTGAAAAGACCAAAGGGCTTGGGGCTAGACACCTAGTACTTCTTCTGAGAACAGACACGACGACCCAGTACAACTTATAGTCTAAGTATTTGAATTTGTTCGTCTTCCCCTCTTTCTCTCTCATTTGGATGTATGATGATGATGATGATGATGATGATGATGATGATGATGATGATGATTGCTTTACGACTTTGTACTCGGAAAACTGAAATAAGCGAGCAGCCGAAATAAGATGTGACCAACAGACAGCCCACACCCGAGGAAAGAAACTACTTACCAAGCAACTCCTGCGTGACTGGTAACAGGCTGAGCCTGGAGCCATCTGGAAAAAGAATCTCACAATGCTCCAAAACGAAGACCAGCCCCAGGCAGTGCTTGGCGGATGAGGATGATGATTGCTCTTCGACTGTGTATAAGGACAGAGCAAAAGATCGTGGCGTGCTGTGATGACGTGGAGGTATCATTTTCGTTGATGCCTGTGTAAGTATTTGCGCCCGCACCTACTAGCACACGGAGTCGGTGGAGGAACTGCACACGAGCTATGTGTGCTGCTATGAAGAGGATCGTGGTTTCTTCTTTTACTTATATTCAACCCGAACTCGAACAAGGACAGACCGCACGCTGCCAGGACCAACTACATGAAGAACCAGTATTATGCAGATCCACAAGCATCACTGATCGCAACCCGTGTTGACCTTGACTGAAGATCTATCACTACTTCAATCCAGAACCACATCAAGGGAACACAGTTTCAGCAACAGCACCACACCAGTAGCAGAGCACCGGATGCGATTACACCTACCGATAGCAGCTTCATTCAGAAAAGTGCTGCAATGCGTCTATCTGTATCTTCTGTATTCCTGAAGATTCATCTACGAAACGAGTCGAAAAGTCCGAAATGTCTTATGGTTGTAATATCCCATTACCATTTGTTTCCTGCAGTTGTTCTAGATATGGAAGTAGATCGTGAAGAATCCAATGTTATGTATAGTACAAGAAGCAACTGCGTAAAGAAGTCTTTCATTCAATCTCAAGACACAAATTTATCATGTTCTTGGATACAGTCAATTTAGGAAGTTTTAGCTATGTATCGATTCACTTCATTGTAATTGTTTATGTACATCCATCTCTTTCACTAGACCAAGCAATCATTATTCTATTTATTACAAGGGTTTTCTAGACATTTTTCGGTACGAAGCGAGATTTTTGAAATAGATATTGAACACGGAGGACTTTATACATAGTTGTCCTCTATAATAGACATACAGTTGTTTCAGGAGTTTATTGGATTAGCTAGTTCATCCTTTTCTTCAATTACGACTTGTTCTATACAGTTAAGTGTTAGTGCATGCGTAGAAGTCTCTTTAACAATCATGATTACTACTATTTCTCGAAATTTCATGGCATGTTTCTGTTTTTCGGCGGTGGCCTATTACTTGAGGCTCACAGCTAGCCTCAGACCTCACATCTGCTGAAGGTTGTGGTACTCTTTCACCTTCATACTGGTGATGCCAGTATTCGCAGATTGGAGACCCATATGACCACGATAATCGTTCAAATGGTTCGTCACGTACCTGTAGTTTTTTTTGGATCATGGTGAATTTAAATGATATTTCTCTTCTCTGGTGAAGACGAGGAAAAAAATAGTGCGGTCGTCTTGCAGGGTAAAGAAATAGTACCAGGAAAAAAAAAGCACGGTCGTTTCTTACTGCATAAAATATAGAATCAAATACGGTCGTCTTGCGGGTCGATCAAAGACGAGACTCGAGTCAGCACGCGACTGTGGCACGGGTTGTTCCTGCTTCAGCAAACTGCGTTTGTTAGAGTCATGAGTAAGGAGTTGTTAATGTCAGCCTTATCTTGCTTTCAAATTCAATATCTATACCGAGTATGAGTATGTTACTTAGCGGATGGTAGAAGTGCTACATGAATCAGTGTCATAAATTTGAATCATGTTCTATTTTATGAAATTTCTGTTTTTCCATAAGTGGAGCGTTGGGACGATAGACGGAAATAGGCTTCTTCTCAGGGCTCGCACCTGCCGAGGTCCGCGTAACGTTTGCCAGATTGTATACCTGAGAATGACACTAAGTATGTCTCGAGTGTAATATATGTTGTTCTTGTTGTTGAAGACATAATTCGTGTTGTTGATACTCAAGAACATTTTTCTTAGGTCAGGAGACTCAACATTCATCTTATGATATAATTTATTACAGAACCAGGAGCCTAACCAGCATTCGAGAAAATTAGGATTTTTCGACATCAAAATTCAGTACCGCATTGTGTGTAGTTCGTCCGTCAAACTTGGCTTTCGGTGCTTCAATCTTCGAGGCATAGAAGGGCACGGCTAAAAGCGTGCTGCCATGGCGCACGATCTTCTTGCAGAAACATTAGAGGAGAGATGCAGCCGAACGTTAGTAGTTGTAGTGTACCTGATGTGCCCAATCATGGGGTAAATAGAAGATTTAGTTAGCAGTTGTCGTCTTCAGGAGTAGTAGGTAGTAGGTGGCTAGCTGTAGGAGTAGTAGCTAGTAGACGTAGTTGAAATAGGAGTGGTATCAGTACTATTGGTAGTAGTCATGTACCCATTCGTGATGACAAATACAAGTTAAGGTGTCTTTGGGACGATTTGCTGTAGTTGCTGTAGTTGGGGAGAAACATAGTACTCAACATTATTTCTTGATAGAAGTAGGGATTCATGGAGCTGCGATTAGCTTTAGCCTTAAGAATATATCTTGTCTTCGTCGAATTCGACTCCGTCAAGGATGTCGCGTTTCTTAGATCGCTGGGCCATCTTTGGATATTCCTTCTTGGAACTTCTAGTACTTCTACGTCGTCTATTAAGACTTCTTCCGTCAGTCTTCTACCTTGAAATAAACACTGACAGTCTTCTACCGTGAAAACAGAGAGAACAATGACTATCCTTTTCATTCTTGAGGTCATGAGTGTTGGCTTTTAGGTGAATGTTGTCTTTTAGGATAAGTAGGATAGGATAGGACACGATAGGAATTGCCTCACCTTGTTCGGCAGGGTAAGCCTGCCTCTCGTCCGGTGTTTCCATGTTGATAAAGCATTTTCACAACTTTTTTCATTTCAGCTCCACCAATAGCCGTCGTCGATACGATCGATAACGATAGCAGCAGTTGCTTCTAATCTTCTACCGATGCAGAAGTACAACAGGGGAAGTACTTCACGAGGGCGATTCTCTTCATTATCCTTGACGACGAATATGAATAAAAAATGAATGTACCGGTAGCCACTCCAGGGGTATAAAAGGCGACTCAACTACTAGCAATTCCGTCTAAGTACTATAGTCGAGAAAAATTATGTCCACGACGCACGCCCTCTACGATACAATTGGAAGTCTCATAAAAGTTTCCCAATTGGAAGTCTCTCGTCCTCTACGATACGCTTGGAAGTCTCAAGAACCTGACTATAACGACCTTGTAACCCCAAGGAAGGAAAGCCCTGGGCTACTTATTGGGTTTTCTTTTATCCCTAACGGCTTTTGGCTTTTTTCTGTTCTTAAAGGTTTTATGTTTTTCTCTATTCTTATTCACTCTTTAAAGCGGGTTTCGCTTCGTAATTGATGGTAGGGTATGAAAGGACTTGAGCCTGATTAGCCGTACTCGATCCATCCTTAAACAAAATAAGTTAGTGATCCTTGCACACTAACTTTCTCTCACTTTGCTGTTGCCTGCTCTTTTCTCTCACTTTGCAGCTGCCTGTTCTTTTCCTTTTCTCTCGTCTGGTAATTACACTCTTTGTTGTACTTATACTTATGCAACTTCTAATAAGTGGAAACATGGAAAGCATTTGTCCTTGAGGATATTCATTCTGTTTTTTGCATGCTACCTACAATTTCCTAAGATTTTTTTATTTTGTGACAATCCCTCACAGAAAAGTTTGCGTCTCTCTGTCGTGGATCGTCGTCGTCTTAATCCTCATCTAATCCTTTTAGTAGAAAGAACGGCATCAAGATATTTAATGAACACAAGTCCGACTTGCTTCAGAAAGGTTGCCAGCTTCGCACATGAGGAAAGAACCACGTGCAGCACGTGAAAACCTCGCCCGCAGCTACAGCATCTTGATGTTGCTTTTACTCGTTGTTGATGGAGTCACAACTGAGTGGAGTCTTATCTTCGTGCGAATCAAATTGGGCCTTTAGATTTTGGATGAGAGTGGGGGATCAGCGTCAGTCCCACGCTGCATCAAACGCCGGACGATGAGCAGGGGAATATCTTTTATCAACCCAATAGTAGTCATCTTCTCCTGCATCAAACGCCGGATGAGCAGGGGAATATCTTTTATCAATAGTAGTCATCTTCTCATCTACAAGGTACATACTAGAGAGACGTTGTAAAGGGTCAAAAGTAACTCTTCCTCCTCTGATCCAAGTACCAATCGGGCACACAGCGAAACGTCAGATTTAGGCGTGGACTTTTGCACCCTTTCTCCCGTGGAACGCAGGCTGTTAGAGGCAGAAGTAACATGAGATTAAGGTTATAAGGCTAAGGTTGAGGGTCCACCAAACCGCGGCCAGGCCGCACCAGCTTGGACGAGCCGGGTTCGAGTAAAACCGCGGTTACCGATGTGACGGGTATGAGTAATGCCACAAGCTGTACCGAGCTTACCAACAAACAAGGGAACAGCCACCGACGGGGGGTAAAGCTTTCCAAAGTCCTCAAACTGAGGCGCTCGCGTTGTTGGGTAGTGCATGGGGGTACATCCTGTCAAGATTAGCTTACAACAACCTAAACCTTGCAGATTACACATGTTGATCAACTACATAAGTAAGTACTGTCGTTCACATATGAATGAAACGGTTATACTTATAAGTGTACTGGCGCAGCTGACTACAGGTTAGTATTTGCTTATTAATGTAGGATCATTTGAGTGTGTACTTTCTTGTCATAAATGTACGTATATTGGTGTAGTTCAGGACATAGACATGCGCTTTAAATATTTGTACTTTGTCATAAGTGTACGTACTGGTGCTGACAGGCGTTTTGCATCAGCAGTAAGGAGCCCGAGTGCAGACGCAGGTGTAGGCGGTCCTCACGTTGTGTGACACTACGCAGTAGAAAGTCTCGACTTGCGCCTAAAGAGATCGATGCGATCGGAGGCGCGAGAGGAGGAGAGGAAGTGCGAGGACTCAACAAAGTTGATGTCTGAGGAGGCGAGGCTGTACTAGAATTTGAAGTTGATGTCGGAAAAGCAGTGGTATGGGATCTTGAAGTTGTCTCGGTATCATCCAGCGACGCATCTGGAGGACGAGGAAGTCCTTCCATCTTGCATGACGGCTCGGCTGCCCAGAGTTAGAAGACAAACGTAATTAATGTTCATTTTTCATAATCCTGAAGTGGTAGTAAGAAGAAGATATGCATAGAAAATACGACTCCTAAAAAATTCCGGAGGACGTAGGTGGTCTTAGAAATGCTGGAACAAGTGTATAAAAATGAAACAGGAAGGAAAAAATAATATTGTTCAAGAACATCTACAACAAGAAACAGAAGGTGCAGGGTCTTAACATAGTATTTCCTCTTTATCAGTGTGCCAACCGATATGTTCTGAGCCATCTCGGTACAAATTGCACACGCACACCGTAAACCGCAAGAGTATTCCTGTTTTCACCTTGTACCACTCCTCGACCCGTTTCTTGATCTGCAGAAGCTCTGGTGGCCAGGGTAACAGGGAGAAGCCTTTGCCGCTGTTGGTCTCCCGATTGCTTGAGATCTTGGAGCTCTCCGACTTACTCGAGCTCTCGTCCCTGCTAGTATTGGTATTGCTGCTGGATAGGAGACTTGAAGTGCTCGTCCTCTCCCTATCGCTTGATGGGAGACTAGAAGACGATGTTGATCCTCCGAAATTATTAGAAATGGAACCGACAAAATGTGAATCAAAGGCGCTAGCATAGGATAGGATCCGATAGGATAGGATCCGATAGGAGAGGATCCGATAGGATAGGATAGGATACATAGGATACGACAGGATAGCGCACCTCGACTCACTCTATAGCCAGAAAGGCACACGGTCTTTGACGAGCCCAACCTTTTTTCGTTATTCTTCTTAGCAACATTCATCTCTGTTTGTAAAGCCTTAAAGTAAGCTGTTAAGCGCGCATTCCTATCGTTCTTGGACCATCGAATTGTCTTCATGAGAGATTCGAACAAAGCGTCCGAACAAGCGTTGCCCACAAAATCAGGAACGTAGTGAACGCAATTTTCGCTGTTCAACAAGCGTCCGTTCTGTAACAGACACCGCGCACGATAATCAGCTAAGCCGCGCACAACAGAATCTACCACTACAGGAGGAGCTGAAGATGCAGGTCCTCGCGCTGTGTAGGTTCTTGTTTCTCTATGCCTGTGGTCTGCTGTAATTGTACTAGTAACTCTGTTCTTCTCGGCACTTCTACTCGCACATTCTTCAAGTGTAGGAGTGAAAGAGGAAGGCGACAAAGGTGCAGAAGATGAGTCGCCTACTAGCGCACCACCCGTGCTGATCAAAGCGTGTCGTCCTAAGCGTTTGCGGGCTTGTGCTTGAAAGCGCAGATCGTCCTCGAAATTTTTGATGGTGGAACCACTGCAACTGCTCCCACGATGAGGTTCCAAAAAATGCCACAATGCTCCCGGCCTGTTCATGCTTCCATTTTTGTGCCGATTTTCTTCCTGTTGTGTACCATCCACTTCATTCCCCCGACCACGCCCACGTCGAACGCCAGGCAGAAACACTTCACCGGACTCCGTTCTCGGCTGATAGTCCCCAAAGCCCTCGAACGGTCTGACATGCATACGCTGAAACCCTGTTTCGTGGCAGATTTTTTCTAACCCGAACTCTTCCCATTGGTCAACGCAAATGCCAGTACTCTCATCCCAGCAGAGATTTAACAAGAGGACTAAGTAGGATGTCGACGAAGACGAAGAAGGTGCAGCAGGAGACGGCGATGACTTCTGGCCGGTCGTAATTGTATTCGTAGTACGCGTAGTACCTTCTAGTTCTACAACATCCGAGTCTTTGTCCGTTCGCAGTAATGGCTTTACTGATCGAAAGAAATCAAGGAAAAACTGTCTATTTTCCTCCGTTCGTCGATCCTGCTCTCCTCCTTTTCTTTGTTGATGATCTTCGTCATCCTCTCCAGCATGTTGTAGATGTCGAGTTCTTGGATCATGATCCTCTTCAACGCCACGGCGTAGTTGTACTTTTTTGGCTTCTACTTGATCATCGCCGTGATCCCCGACTGCTTGACCGTCCTCTACGTGATCCCCGACTGCTTGATCATCTACTATATCCAGTACTTGATGACTTCGTCCACAAAAATCGGCCTCCTTCTCTTTCATCTTGAAGTAGTTTTTGTGCAGACTAGCTGACGCTCTCGGAAAGGTGAAAAAAACACGATCAAAAGAGCGACTGTCTTTGTCCTGAAGACTGGGAAGTAGGGTCTCGGCTATCCGTGTGGCATCCACAGAATAATAGACAGATGTTCGCCTTGATGTTGAAGAAGAACAAGACGAACTTGAACTAGTATAATTGTCGTTTATGTTACAACTAGTGGTACTAGTCGTATCTTTTTTTTCAACAGCGACATCTTCGTCATTTTCAACTTCGCCACTTTCAACTTCCCGATTCGCCTCTAGAATCGCCTTCACGTTTCTGCCTCTTAGATTTTCCAACCTTTTAGCTTTCGTCTTTCCACCTGGATTCGTCCGATTGGCCACCGCGTCCTTCTCAACTACGTAGCCTCTTAGGGACCGCTTAGAAGACGCTGTAGTAGTACTAGCCTCCTCGTCAGCTTGTGACCGCTTAGAAGACGCTGTAGTAGTACTAGCCTCCTCGTCTTGTGACCCTGACCGCTTAGAAGACGCGGTAGTACTACCAGCTGCCTGTTCCACAATATATTGGTCATGATAAGTTGTTGCTATGACATCACCAGAGGACGCCGCTTTTTGGACTAATGCCCGGCTAAAGGAAAAATCACATTCTCCTAAGACAAGAAACTGTTTGTCGTTGCTGGTCCCATTGCCGTTACCATTCGCGTTCCCCTCGCCAGGTAAAGGACCTAAAAGCAAAGCCTCAGTCGAGATTGATTCATCAGTCAACATCGAAGATGTTGAATTTATTTGCTGCTCGTCAGGATTCGTTTCTCGGAATGCAGTTGTCTTCTTTGGCATGGGCATTCCATCCCGAATTGCTGCTTCGGTACACTTTCCACCGGAACGAAAGTGTGCGAAGAGTTGATTCCGGGAGACGAAGCTGGCGCCGCAATAGCGGCATGAGGTGGAAGAAGCTGAGGATGACGATGTGGGAGGTACACTATTTGAAGCACACGGTTGTCGTCGGTGTGACGTTGCCTCTGGCCGGTCTGCCTTGGTTCCCGGTCTTGGAGATGTCTGTTCCGCCACCTGTCCCTGCGCCTCGAGTCTTGCATCTCCCTGGCCCACTTGCGCTTGCACGATTGCATCTTGCTCCTTGCGCTGAAGTACAGCAAGTTCTTGTTGCTGTTCTTGACTTTCATTTTTGTGATCCTTTGATGTTGAGGATGACGGAGAGGGAGGTCTGACAACTACAATCGACCTAGACGGGGACGATGTCGCGGTAGAAGAGGTCGAACAAGTGTCCTCATGTTGATCGACGACAGGACTAATTAGATTAGTGGGATTAGTGGGAGGTAAGAGTGACTTGTCAACTGTCAAACACTCACGTCGACTCGAGGTGGACATGAAGACAGTCCTCTGAGGACAATTGCGCTCAACCAGCATAGTATCTAAAAAAAAGGAATCCTGAAAGCGGATACCATAGTACTTGTATGATGTACGAAGATCATTGAGTTTTTCTATACGTTGTAAGAAGCAAGTTGTTTAAAAACACTCGAACAAATCGCTTTATGCTACTTTCATCACGAGCTTGGTTCATGATCCTCCGACTCCTAACACTAGGACTAGATCTTCATAGTTTCCATGAACAAGAGTATTAAAGAAGATCTGTGACACCCTTATGAAGATCATGATTCTGGAACTTCCTTTTTTCTACGTCAGCACTGAGGCTAGTATCTGAAGAAGAAACTCCATTCTATTTCATCCACGCTTGATCCTGCAGAACACATACCGTCGATCTTCGTGTCCAGCGGAACACATATTCATTAGAAGAAACTCTTTGCCTCATCGTTATCACTTTGCCTCATCGTTATCACGACTTCTATCAGTATGAGTTATGAGAGCATATGAACCACAACTACCCAGACAGTCATGCATGGACATCAGCTTCCATCGATGGATCAATAGAAATACTCTTGTTCCCAAGGTATAAGATCCCAGTAATCTTCGGAGCTCTTGTTTGAAGAATGCAAGTGCAACAAAACCATTTGCTAGGCAGTCTTCAATGGGTTTTCAGTCGTGCAGACAACCAGTCTCTCCCACTTAATGCTACCGCTATCGCTAGTAGCATCATGCTGTTTGCAGTTACAAGAATCCTGACTTAGTTATTACGACTACATTTACAAGTTGAAGAAAGGAAAAAATAAGACATCAGTGAAGAATTTGCTTGGAATAACTGAGGACGTTTATTCCTCGATGAAATCGTTAATGTAACTCATAACTACGCAGAATTGGATTTGTCGTAACCGAACATGCTTGTTGTGCTTGTGCCGTTCTGTGGCTTTTTTGGTAACGTTCTTTCATGATGTTGACTACTGAGAAGTTATTAACGAGAAAAAAAAAAATTCTTTGAATATACAAACTTCTAGCAAGAGTCATTGGAGTCTATCAATCTGGAGTACAGGAAAAAACAAGTCTATAACTATAGAACTTTTACTAGAACGCGAATAGGTACTACGTACAGGAGACTCATCTCTTTTTGAATGAAATCTACTCCCATCTGACTACTTATCTTCAATGTGCTTCGCTGTTGCTTTACTTGTTTGTTACGTACACGCCGACAGAGATCTTCACTATAGAAATTAATGTCGATTCCTTCTCTTTTTCCCTCCTTCGAGGCACAGCGCACGATGGACCGGGAAAAAGGACAGGTCGTCTTTCTTTAGCATCTGATAGACAGCTTGCTCGGGTCCGGTAAACGTAGTCGGGTCCTTGCTGAGGACAGAGATTAGATCATGTGAGTTGGATGTTATTGAATTCTCTTGTTCTAAATTTGATGCTTTTCTCTTCTAAAAAACAAGATTGAGCTCTGAAGTACATTTTGATGCTTTTCTCTTCTTCTAAGATGGGAATTGGATGCATTTCTCTTCTAATCTCTGTCATCGGAGGTAAGGACATTGTGATTGTCTTTCTCTTCTAAACAAGATTGAGCTCTGAAGTACTAGTACATACTGGCCATAAGTAGAAAAGGAAGAACATGTAGTTCCAGATATTGTGCTCTTTCGCAATATGCTCCGCGTAGGACGTAGCCATTCCTTCACGGCCAGAAGCACCTTATTTTTTGGTCGGAAATGATTGGTTCTTCGTGCATAGACCATTCATAGTGCTACTCCTTATTATATCCCATTCATAGTGGTCGTATTCCTTATTATATCCCATTCATAGTGGTTCTTCGTGCATAGGTCAGACTGCGTTGGTTCTTCGTGCACCATAGACCATTCATAGTGCTATAATTCCTTATCGCTATTGATATTGTGACGTGGTCTCAAATATATTTCTAATATCAAAAGCACATGCGCATGCGCAAGCACACGATGTTTCGACCTATTTCTTTGTGGTTGGACAGTGGAAAGATGAGCGATTCGCCCAGAGCAAAACTAAGATAAACTACTAATACTATGGCGATGATCATAGTCATAAAGCTAGTAGAGGAAGCAAGCAGATGTAGACGAACTACAAATTCCAAGTCCAACAAAGAAAATGTGTGTGTCAACATAAAAATACTTAAAGCGAATAGCATTTCAATTTCAAGATACCACCTCCACCCGCCATTTCCGCAGCCCCCTTCAAGTTACGGAGGGAGTGTTCGATGTGAGTGGCTGACATGTCACAGATGAAGCAGTAGTTCTGCAAGTGCTGCTGTCGCGAGTTCGTTGCGTCTCGGAGGGCTCTATCGTTAGAGCAGACTTTCAACAGTTTCTGTATAACTGTTGATGTGACGCACGTTTCAGTTTCTTTAACTTGATGTGGCGCACGCTTCTTTCCAACATTCTATCTGATGCGGCGCAAGTGGTGCAGCTGCGCTTCTTTCCAACATTCTATCTGATGCGGCGCAAGTGGTGCAGCTGCGCTTGCTTCAACTTCTAGCTCTAGAACTAACTCTAACAAAGTGAATAAATATTTATTTTTATACTGTTTGCAGTCGTAACAAAAGTGTCGATGATGATACCGAAGATGATGTTCATCAAGACGACTTCGATGACCAGGTAAAAGAGAATGTCGAAGGCAAACCTGTTGTGGAATTCCGCATCGCTAGTGATGCCCAACGTCGGACCTGGCACCATCACGTTGTAAACCGTGACGACGAAGAAAGAAAACACCTTTAGATGGGCTCACCCTATAATGCTAATCCCTCTTGGCATGGTACATCCTGGAGGCTGCTTTTTCCCCTTGAAGAATTGTTCCCCATTCAATAGCCTCTCGCCTGAGTGGATGACTTCTCTCAACATGGGAGCGCATGAGGAGAACGCCTCTCCTCCAGGATGACTTCTCGCAAAATACATGGGAGACCATTTTTAGGAGAAGCCTTAACATTTCGACCATGTTTCCCACCTCGAATGCCAGGTACTCTTGGGGCCCGTAGAGCAAAAACGCGGTCAAAGCGAATGAGTACATCACTATCGCCATCATGATCGTGGTGTAGAGCAATTGTCGTAATGGTAACGTCACAGCTCTGAGTAAGTTGCGCATCACTTCGTGCGTGAAAAAGATGTCGAACAGCATAAACGCGTAAAAGTTGAAGCCGGCGCGACCGCGAAGTAGGGCAAGTGACGCGAAGACGAAGAGAATAAATCCTCGCAGAAGGTTAGACGAGTGCGTCAAAGCAATTCAAAACCATTGTCATCTTCTGCATTTTTTCCAACCATGCCATGATCCTCGGAAGGACTGCACAGCAAGAAATCCCTTAGACTTGTAGACGAAATGAACGATTGTTACAAGAATTTCGAAAAACTGAAATAAGCAAGTAACTGATCAGAATAAGCGAGATACTGACGAGAAGGAAGAGTAGCCTTGATGTTAAGCTACCTCCCTTATTTCAGTCAGTAACTCGGTTATTTTGAGTTTTCGAATAGCTGAGCCTTAAGTAAAGGCTCCTTGAAAAACGCTGCTTTGGTTGTCCTCATCACTACCGAAGTCAAGTCTTTTAAACTGACTTCGGTAGTTCCAGCGAGTTCCTCCTCTAGCAGGATAGGCAGATAAAGTAGCACGTTCACAAGCAACCTCGCTGCTGCCACTAGCCAGTAGAGAATACCACATCCAAAAACCAAATCCTCAGCCCGCACGTGGTGCAGCGTAGCGAAGCCTGCGTCTAAGGCATACAGAAAAGCCTTCCAAGGTCTCCTCGGGATCAAGTTGGGAACGATGTTGTTAATGTTAGTTGACCATGGATCTGATTGGTCTTCTTCTCCGTCATCAAGAAAGCTGGAAAAGAACCCTCCACCCTCGTGCAGACTATCATGTTCGTGCTGTCCGTGCTGGAAGAAGAGACTGCCTAAAGTGTTAGTAAATACACCTTCTGACGAAGATGCGCCTCCTTGTTCCCCGGTCTGAGCACCTGGGTCTGGGTGAGACTCTTCACCCTGGTGTGCTTGCTGTGCATCCACTGCACTCAACCCTGCATTTCCACGCGTGAGCGAGACTACCAGAAGCAGGTTGATCACTATTGCCAAGGCAAGACTCAACGTCGTCAAAAGCTGCAAATTCCGTGTCCCATTCCGAAAGAAAAAATGCAACGGATGCGCACGACTTTGAGGCTTAGAAGGGGATAGAAGATTGTTAGAAGGGCAATGGGGTAGAAGATTGTTACAACACTACTAAAACTAAAGCTATGCTATGTCATCTTTCTACTTCCATCTTGAGATTGTAATTGCGTCCCTGCGAATCGGCAAGAAGCGAATTCCGAAGCTGATAGAGCTGCGTCGATGAACTCCTGTTCATATTTTTCAGGAAGTGGAAGAAGATGCCTTTCGCTTTCCCTACATTAACAAAGTATACCACGACGCGGACGCGACACTTATGTATTGTACTGTTCTTGTACCACTACCCTCGTCCATAACGATCTGACCTCCTCCTCGTCTTCCTCCACCACGACAAGAAAAACCCAGGAGTGTCGGAATCCACACCGAGATAAAACATAACCGCTGCGTTGCTCGACACTCTTTGAACACAGTCCGCCCAAACTCTATCAAATACTGCAACTTCGCCTGTGGGCTCGTTCCTACGGGGACTGAAGTCAAAAACTCCTTTCGCGTACTTTCTAGCGCGTATTTACATGCTAAAGGTTTGACGAAGAATACTCTGCGGAGGACGCTTGAACTGCTGGAAGATCCACCACCAGAACTAGAATATCCACCAGACATATCTCCACCACCAGCTTGTTGCTCACTACCGCCGTCTGACCGAGCTGCCTCACCATCGCCTGCGCTGCCGTCATTGATGTGCTCTTGGTTCTCTCCTCCATCACCTCCTCCAACAGCTATTGCTACTGCGCCTTCTCCTTGTTGGTTTCCGCCATCTTCACGGCCCCCACCACCGCAACTGTGCATTCCCCCGTCACCTGCTTCGTAGTTGCTGCTCTTGTTTCCACCAGAAGACGCCACTTATTAGATGAAGGGCGCAAAACAAGAATCCATCTCTTTCCGTTTCCTTCAACATTGAAGATTTCTTTCGCATCTGTGAGCCTTAATGATCCAATGCACCAGTTGTAGTCGTGGTACTTACGCTCGTAGTTGAAGGTATTCTTACCTCTACCGACGCCACATTGCGTTCGAAAAACTCAAATGCCTGTCTGTAGGCCGCATCGACGGCAAACGCCACTTTAGCGCGATTGTAGCTACCTGCGTCCACGTAGTTCTCTGTCCTGACCGTCATCGCTAGTTGTTCACATAGTGACATATCTGCAAGCATCGTAGTAGCGTTATTGTCGCTGTTCTTTGCTCCTCCTTGCTGTGGCGAGGAACTAATCTTAGACGAGGAATAGAAAATGCATCGCAGAATTCAAATTCATCTTCTAAGTGCTTTTTTCTTCTTGTTTTCTTCTTCCAGAAGATGACTTTGGAGATGGAGATCCAGATGCGTTTCCTGTACCCTTAATACTCGAGGAGGATTGCTTCCCACCTCCCATCTGAGCTACAAGCACTGGATTCACTGAAGGTCGAACCTTCCGGACGAAGTCTATCGCACTGCGTTCTCCCTGTAGTTCCAAATATTGGATGAAGCAGAAGATATCCTGTGCTTCCCCCACTGCTTCTTGGAAGTCCTCGTCGGTTTCGAATCTGAGCTTAGTGGCAACAGGAGCAAGGCACCGTAAACATTCTGTTTGAAGCAGCATTTTCAAAACAACTTTTTATAACGGATTACGATTGTAGATAGCGACTTGTTCTTTCAAAGGATGGGGATGCTGTCCCTGATGTCGCTGTTCAAGATGGTTTTACAACGTAATTATCCTTAATCAACTCCCAGTGCACCGAGGCTGCTCTTTCCAACGCCTGTAGCATCTCCAAGGCCCGGTCTCCTGTCAAGAAGTATGAATGATGTTTTTTCCATCTAGATCTAGCCAGACCATCGAGGTAGAGTAGTATGTGTTAGGAGGAAATTAATCTAGTAATCGCAGCACTGCATCCGCATAAAGCCATTATCTGCACACTTTCAAGGGGACGAAAAGCAGGGGCAGCCTCGATGGTCTCATCATCAGTGCATCTCAAAGTCAAATGATCATTCTCGATCATCAGCGAGATGAAACAGTTCCTGACAGAAAGAAAAACATCCTCCATATCAAGTGGAAATCTTGGAGATCGTGCATGAGTTGCAAATCGTATTCGAGATCGTAGTTGGCCGTGAGCATCAGGAACCGAGAGTAGGCGAAAAAAAGGCGTTGACGGAAGGTATTCTTAGAGCTACCGCTTTCCTTCAAACGGTTTGCGTCTACCTTTTACTGGAGATGTAAGCACACCCTTGCACTTGCTGGGGGTTTCTTTCTCAAGTAGAAAAAGGGCCAGGGACGGATGGCGCTCAGGATGCTTCACCGGTAGCCTTAATATTGGGGTCTAAACGAGAAGCCAGTGCCCGTCCGATGTTGGCGTCTTCTTGTCGGGCTTCCAGAATAGCATTCAAGGCAGCGACAGCGCTCAATTTCATAGTGCGAACACCCTCGCACTCATCTGCAAACGCTGACCAGTCGAGCACGGATGGCAGAGAAGAAGTGCTGGCTCTTGTTCTGATTCTGCTCCCCATGTACCTTTGATTGGAGGTGAAGGAAGTTTTTCACGGAGGTGATGGTGCAAGTGGCCTAAGCAGCAGGGTCGCACTCGCAGCACGACCGACAATGTGAAAAACTTAAGCTTCTAGTATTAGTTATACTAGACCTGCTCTATATGTTGGTCATACTCATAACTCCTCCATCCTTCATTTTCCCCCTGCTCTCTCCAGTACTGACTCCCATCAAATGCTGTTGTAACAGATGAGACAGAGTATTGCTTGTGTCGTGATGATGACCTCCAGCTCCATGTTGAAAGTGGGCCATTCTAGTATCGCCACTTTGCACATCAGGCAATGACGTGGGTGCATCGGTATCCTTTTTTCCCTCTTAAAGCTCGTCACCCTATATGTCTATGCCCCTCTTGAAAAGCATGATCCTCATATGTTACACATTCTTTCTCATTATGAGAGAGACAGCTTCGTCACTATCCTTCTGGAAATGGATTCGTGGAAGCGAGGACCACCTCTTCTAAGATCATGTACTATCTTCTGAAGATGGAGGACCATTAGGGGAAGCCGTAACTATCATCGTCGTCGTCCCCACCCGACCACGAGAGCATGTTCAGCATCCGAAACTCGCTTTTTAGGATCTTATCCAGCGTTTCAACAACGCCAGAAAAAGCTATCTGTTCTTGGTTTGCTACGCAAGGACCTTGCGCTAGTTCGGTTAATAGGTCGAGCGAGTGTGTTAGCGCATGCTCACAAGAGTTATACATAGTTCATATAATATATATTGCAAGTTGTAAACCCAAGTGGTATATGATCTCATGATATTCTTGTAGTATAAATTTAATCAATCTTAAAGATTTCTTTTGTTTACGTCGGTCACCATATTCTCAGAATCCGAGAAGGAGACTGAGAAAAATATCCAGTGGTTGTCGGGGTGGGTCCTCAATGTATACCTTAACTGTGTTAGGCAAGCCGCCGTCTGAGTATCCATCCACAGTGTGTCTTCGGTGCCTTTGCACATTTTGATAACGCAATCACTGCAATGCTGAACTACTGGGACGGACTCGGAATTGTCTATCTGGTCTCTAACGTAGTTCTGCATCCAGATATTGTGCCCTTCGCAGAGAAGCTGCAAAAATCTTTGACACCTTGAGAGTGCTTTCAATGCTTCTCTGTTTCCACAGAGAGTGGCAAAATCTTGTTCCGAAACAGAGCCCTTGATAGCTGCACTGGAGGCACTCGCGCCTGGTGCTGCTCCTGAACCACTAGAACTAGTGCTGGTAGCATTTCGCTCTGCTAATTCGCGTTTTAGGCTGTCTGGTATTAGAAAAACGGCAATCGGCGGCCTAGGTGCACATCAAATCTGCTTTGGAGCAGAGAACTCAGTGCTCGATCAGTATGGTCTTAGTAGACGTAGATGAATACATGTTTATACACAGCATTATCATTTCTACAGTAAGAACAGTGAGTAACATATTATTTAGTAACATATTTATAAACACTCATGGATTTATTGGTTTTGGATTGTCATTCTGAAGAATGCGAATGGTACTACTGCTAGACGGAATCAATTACTAATGAGTTGTACTCGAGGGCCGTAACAATATCCTCAATTTCAGCGTGCGATGATCCTGTAACCGGTCCAGCACTGTGGTGAAGTGGTCGCCTAGGTTTCCGAATAGCGTTGTGTCGTCACACGTGGAGAAGTAGAGCTGGAATTGGCGCTGTGTCGTTTCGTTGCCACCTTCGAGAAGGGCAATGGCCAGCTCTAAAGCAACAGCAAACAATTCTGCGGAGGAATTGCTATCCAACACCGCGGCCAAAAGTTTCACTGCACCGATACGAGCCAGCTCGCCTTGGACAGCTTCCAAGCTGTCCTCTGAATCTGGATGCTCGTCGTTGGAAGTAGAAGTTGAAGAAAACGCACTAGTGCTACTAGAAGCAGAAGACTTCTTCCGAGCAAAAGTGATCCATCCACTCAAGATCTTCAGGATGTGTCGCAGTTCACTCCACTTCTCACTCTCCACAGCTCGCAGACCGTGGGCCACTACGTTTAGCGCGGCTTATAATAATCTATCTGCTACGTAGTTCATAAAAGTGGTGGAGCCAACGTAACTAAGGAAAAACCAAAAAGAGAGAAGACTCATAAACATACTCGCAGAATGAATCCAAGAAGGAAGTTGTAACTGAGACAAGCACAAGCACATGCACTGCTCTAGTAGCTTTGTGAAAAAGAAGATGTAGATGATTGATTGATTGATTGATTGTTAATAGAGGTAGGTTTTTGGTGCTCGCTTACCCCGCTTGTTATGCCTTTCTCCCTTAGGAGAGGCATAAAAAGCGGTAAGAAAAGCACCTTTAGCCTACCCTTAAGATTGATTGACGTCCCTAGTAGTACTCCTCGACTAGGAGCGATACAATACAGTTCCACAAGTACTGCACTGCTCTAACTTTGTGAAAAAGAAGACGAATCATCATTAGCCTTAATAGTTTTGCTAACAGAGTGTGGGCATGCAAGGGCGTAGTGGACCGTTCTTCCTCGTCTAGGCCAAGCGCACGTCTCGCTTGCCACGCCACATTACTGGGATCTGTCTGTTCTTGGCATTTCTGGATGTGTTCTATCTTAACGCTAGTTTTTCACTACGCCTGGTTCGTTGAGTTGTGAGGTTTCGCCCTGTTCTTGCCTCGTCCTATTTTACCCCTTAAAACAAGGGCAGGTGGACAGAATATTTTCAGAATAGTTGTCCACATGGATGGGATAGCGGTAGTGCAAAACTAGCCTTACCTATTACGCTGCGCTCTTCTCCGTCCAAGGCGTCCTGGATTGCCGAATGGTCGCGCATTACACTAACGAAAGAGCGCAGTCTTTGTGTGAGAAGTCGCGCACGTGGAAACCTAGGACATGTCACCGAGTCAAATTGGGCTTCTTCCCAGTTGAGGATGTCCTGTAGAAGCAAAACCGGCGCGCACTCGTCAGCAGAAGATGTCGCTGTCGCAGATGTAGTTGATGTTGGGTTTGAAGAGGTAACAGGATTTCCACTACCAGTAGGCCCAGGTCCTCCGACTCCGATTTCGACTAAAACCACCTGTAGTGATCGCTGTCTTCTGGCCTCGACCCTGCCTAGAAAAGGTGACTCCATAGAGGAAGTATGTCTAGCAGCACGGAAACTGGGCACTGAGCGGTTCTGCAAGGCCAACGCCATGTTTCTAGATGGGGACGGAAAAAGTTCGGCCGTAGGTGAAGGTGGACCATTACCTGTGTCATCGGGGTCGCGATTCTTCGATTCTTAGGGCTTGCAAATCAAATCATGATCGTGCTGTCAAAGTCAGAGTCAAGAAGCCCAATTTTCACAAACAGCTTACTAGCTCTATCATCATACCTTGTTCTATCAGCCTGATCTGGGTACTTCTACTTTCATCATCTAAGTCAAGAAGCCCAATTTTCACAAACAACTTACATGCTCTTTATTCCGTGGCAAGGTGGAATCTAAGCTACACGAAATTCCTTAGAATGGCATGAGCTAGTACTTATTTAGATTTAGACACGTAGATTTATAGATTTAAATTCGTTGTGTAATTATTTGTGAAACTGTATCTCTTCATCACGACAAGAACGCCATGAGCTCTTCTGTCCTTCCCATAATTTCCACTATTTTCTTTTGAACTCACTGGTGTCCTTGTCGGTTGTCCTGGAGGTTTCCGCACAGCTATTACTGCTTGCAACTCTGGCGTTTCCTTCACGATCTGTACCAGAAGTGTCCACAGCTCACGCGATGCCTCAGCCACTGCCGGATGCTGGTCTTCCAAGGCCAAAGAGTGCAGGATATTTTGGAGAAAGAGGTCATCCGCGATAACGGGCACTATCAAGTCCAATATCATGGTCCTGCAGAAGACGTCTAAGCCGCCACGCCTTTGGATGTACTGCAAGAAAATGTGTAAGAATGCGAGCAACTGTGCGAAATACTCCGCAGAAATCGCCTCAACTTGGTCAGAGCGGTGCACTCGCTCAAGATACGAATAGTCGGGCATCTTCCTAGAGGATAAAGATATTAGAGCTAATCATCATCATCGTCATGGTGTCCCCTTTAGTACTACTAGCCTAATGGCGGGAAAAAACAGTTCCCTTCTTGGTAATGACGCGTTCGCTTTGGTATCTTCCTAGAAAAAGACATCACTCTTGAGGACGTTGACTCTTTTCTTCTTCAAGTACTGAGGATGCATTCTTAAGTCGAAACTCCTTTGAACTTTGGAATTTGACCTCGCAGAGTTTTCTCCTCCTTCACGTTCCTGGTGCTCCTCTTGCTGCCAATAGCTTTGCATCAGGAGAACGATTGTGTTTTAGAGAGTAAATCGCCGTTATTTTTGTAGTAACATTACATATAACAATAAATGATTTATTCTTCGGGTTACCAAAACTTGTGCATAGGCGTCCTTTCAACATGAAGTTGAACTACAGGCAGAAAAGTGATACAAGACTGTAGGAGATCATACACGAAGGAAGTGTAATTCTTGCTATCGAGGATGAATCCCTCTCCACAATGCAGATTGGAGATAAGAGCCCTGCCATAATTTCTCCCACCCGCCTCCCTATGATCCGCAACATTTCCCTGCTCGTCTACCTCGTGCAATAGGTGTTGAGTCTCCACATGTAGCAAAAAATCCTCAACATCCCGCATCACGACATCCAGAAGGCAGTAGGTTTGCGTCGACAACAGAGCTGCATCTGATCGTACAGCGCAATCGTAAAAGCAGGGATTAGAGGACGAGGACTGCGTGGCAGGTGTTCTCAGAGTCAGACGGGGACGGCGCAGCACTGGTCTTACAACTTGGAGAAACTGAAACTGAAACCACAAGAAAGATTATTTCTAGTAAAGTGCGATGACCAAGTCAGCATCAGTATCTATACTCAGCGCCAAAATGTATGTAAAAAGAGCTTCACAACCACAACTAGAAACCCCTGATCATTGAGCACAGATGAATTAGAACCAGAAGGGGTGCTTAAGGTCAACTCTCACTCTCACTCGTCTCAACGCCAAAATTATCAAATACTTAACCATACGACCAGGTGCAGCAGGTCAACATCGTAACTTCATGCAAAAAAAATAACTGCGCTCTCTTCACCTCTAGGCAGATGGTTGCCAGCGGGTTCCGATGGAAAAAGTCTGCCACGTCCAGGTATTCTTGCACGACTTTGCGTGCTGGCGCCACGGTATGCATCAGAGTCTCATGCGCCGTATCTCTGCCCATGCTGAGATACGCTAGCAGACGCAAAAACTCGATGTAGTATTAAAGGTTGACAGCTGTACACTTTATTTTTGGTAGAAGCAGGAGGCGGAAGAGAAAAATAAAAGAGAAGATGAGGAAAAAGGAAAAGATAAAAAATTGATGTTGATTGTAAAAAAGCTACGCTGTTCTTTAGGAGCACTCTTCACAGAAAAAGCTAACACTTTATTCATTTTTAGGAGCACTTGAGAATCTCAAGTTGTAAAGCTAAAGAAAGTAGCTTCAGAAAAAGCTAAAGAAAGTAGCTTGTCAAAAAAAAATGTTTTACACGTTTCAACCCTGCTTAATAGTAAAGCAGATTCGCGCCAGGGATGCGACCGCTAGCGGCGTTTAGGAGTCGGAATACGCCACCGCCTCTATGGTCTGGCGATGCAGTAACACCCACTCCCTGAGGACACGACGCTTCTATTAAAGCTCAGCCTTCAATGGTCACTGACTCTGAACGGAAGGGACCCCGTTCAAAGCTCTCCCCTTTCCCTTCGTTTTCCCCTGTCCTCTCAAGGGGTCGCCTCTTCGATCTCAGTGACCAACCCCAATGACCATTGAAAGCTGAGCCTTAATTCTAGCAAGTCTAGTTCAAGCTGTTGTGCACCGCGACCCGTCGTCGCGTAGTCACCATGGTGTTGGACGGCACCAGATGTGCCAATCCCTTGTTGATCTCTAGAATTGTGGATGTCTTCGTCTGCGTCCTCGTAATTGTAATAACTCACTGCCACACGCGAAATTCGTAAGGCTGCTTCTCTTTTGCTCCGGGTATTAGATTTAGAGCATAAAAAGTAGATAAGCCAGTGAGAGACGTAAATCGGAAGTAGATGAAAGGATCCAGCGTCTATGTCCCACTTTCGTATTTTTCCTACGGCGTAGTTTAAACCCTTCGGCTGTGAGCTGGATCCCCTTCATGGTTCATGCCTTTCTGGTGGTACTAGAGATGCTAGCTTACTACATTTCTCAGAAGTACAAGTAGGTCTCCACAGCCATAATTGTAGTAGAAGCAGGAGCCATAATTCTAGTAGGAGCAGCCATGGTAGTTGTTTGGCCTGACTGACCCAAAGGTCCTGGTAGAGGTGCCAAGTTGTTGTAGTGGTAGTGTCTCAAAGCGCCGAGGAGAGAATGCTTCGCGGTGGGAACTACGGTATCCTTCACCAACATTAGAGGTTACACTAGAGCACTAGTGGTTACATTCCTCGGAACATCCTTTTACTTTTTCTTGTTCTTCTCGTTCTCTCCTATGTATTGGCAAAGAGGCGGCTAAGGATGTCGACTGTGGCGGAAGAGGATGTAAAAATGTGGAAACCGGCCATAAAAATAGGAGATTCTGCAAAATCCTCAAAAACACTGGGTTTCGATTCGGAAAGTCCAAGCAAATCCGTCTACAAACGCGTCCAACTACGTATTCCATGTTCGCAGCGGTCAGGGTAAGAGCAGCGTTGGAGATTAGAAGAGAGAGAGCAGGACTTTAAATGTGCAGGCTTTTCTGGTTGTGGCAGGAGAAGGAGTACAAATACTGCTAAAAAACTGTGATTCTTTGGAGGGCATTGTCCCTATAGAACCGACTCAGAAAATAATTGGATTCTTAGCACTATGAGTCTGACTGTGACTGCGAGTGTAACCACAAATTAAGAACTACAAGCGATAAACCGTCCATAAGTTGCACAGCAATTGCTCCAGCACTATCTCCGCGCCAACTCCCGGCTCATCGAGTTTTTCCACCAGGGAGAATAAAAAGTCTCCTGCTTCGATTTGATTGGCTGCGTGACCACGTAATATTAGAGCGCAAAACAATTCACTTCTTGCCTGCATTTCTCCCACTCCTACGAAGGAAATAGGAAAAAACGACTTGTCGAAATGAATTGTATTCGTATTCAGCCTTAATAAAAGTTGCGCTAGAAGCTTAGACGCTAATCTGCAGAGACTCTTCCGCAAAGGTGTCAAGCCAGTGTCCGCAGACGTGAGCCACTCAACAATTAGAGGCAACAACAGCCCAAACTGCCGGGAAAATAAATGATGGCTTCTTCAAAGATGGGCTTGGGCTAACGTAGTTAAGTACCCGTAAAAGAAGTGTCCGTGCTACGCCTAAGGAGCGTAGCATGTCTTGGATGGCAGGGGTTGGCTCTTCACTATCGTATTCAAAAAGGGGATCTGCTTTAAAGTCCTCCTTTTGTGTCAAAATAATGGCCATCCGTTCCGCAACAGACAGGGTGGAGTCTACTGCCGCTGCAGCAGCGGTGGTTGGACTTTGAGCACTTCTAGCAGGTGCTTGAGTCGTGAGTGCTTGTTGTGGACCAAGGACTTTCGTATTTTTCGCCTCCTCCTGGCTTGTTCCTTTTTCATATGGAGCTTGAACTACTTCCGCTTCTCCATCTTTTTGTGTACCACTACAAATACTCGCATTCTTCATCTTCGTACCCATCTTCGTACTTCTATATTCTAAGATATCTCGGCTTTCATCTTGTAGAAAGTCGACTCGCCCAGTCAAACCACGACGCCGACTTACAAGTTGCACCTTCCTGGAGTTGCCGCTACTTCCACCACCACGCTCGAACTGAAGCGTCCAACTACACAACTGCCTAATAGTAACTAGCAAATCCACGCAGGTACTCGCAGCTGCCCAATTCTTAGAAAAACATATTAGACCTTTTCTCATGTTTCGATTATTTCATCAATGACATAGACCCTTTCATCTAATGTTTCGATTATCCCATGACATAGACCCTTTCTAATGTTTCGACTATTTCATCAATGAAAGCCATCATGTATAATATTTTTATATGGTCAACATCTCGAGCAAAATGTTGCTGTAGTATCAACCAAAGCCATAAAATCAATCTCCGCGGCCTTGCCCCAACTTGCTCTAGCCTCACACAGAGCTTGCAATTGGTGGGTCATTCTCAACGTGTGGTGTTGTAATATTCTATCCTCGTCTGATTCCAGAAGTTGTAAGTCGTTCCCTGCAAATTCCAGGACTGTGCCTAATCTGCAACTAGAAGAAAATAATAGCTGAACAGCTGCATCGGAGATGAACGCCGCAGATGAACCAGTGCCAGAGGAGGAAGACCCTGCTGAAGCTCCTGCACCGGAAGCTGAAGGTGCCTCCGATGGAGCACTATGAAAGCTTCCACTCATCGAGAATGTCGATGGGGGAATGTCGTTCGCGCTCCCCCGCCTTTGTGGTCTTCTTACAACTTAGGAACAACGACATTCCCATACTTTCGCTCTCAATGAGTAGCATCATACACACTAGAAGATGTGCCGACTCCGGTTTCGTTCATGATCCCTGTTGAGGATGCATTGCCGGTCACAGAGAAAGACTCTGCGGGTTGATGTCCTCCTGAGAAATCTCCTCCAGATGGTCCCGAAAACAGGAAAGATGTTCCAAAAGAACTAGAATCTTGCTGTCCTCCAGCACCATCCGAGGCACCACTACTAGGATCCATTCCCGCTCCGCCAGCGTCTACTACACTTGAATTCCTGCTGTAGATGTCAAGTAATATAGTCTTGAAAGACTGCTTTCCTAGTGAGTCGAAGTCGATGAATTTATGGCTCCCGACCTCCTCTAGAATCCTAGCAGCTATAGCGTCCAACAAGGCTGTCGTGTCCGGGTCATCAGTATCGATCTCTGCGTCCGCCATTGTCACAAGACTGTCACTCGCGGAGGCAGCTACTGGACGAGAAATTAGAGGATGTGTGACGAGAACTGATGAAGAAGATCATGATGAGGGTTGTTGTACTTGTAAGAGAACTCACTAACTAAGTAGGAGAAAAAGAAGCATGACAGCGATTCGAGTCAAATTTGGAGACTTGTGCGTATTCCTCAACATCTGTTCAACTACTGGTGCTAACTACAAAACATAGCTGCAACCCTCCTTTTCCTTAATGGGAAAAGCTCTTTCTCATGCGCAAGAAAAATTTGAACCAGCCGTGTTGCCAGAGCGTCGATAGCAAGGTTGTTTACGACAGTAAGACACTCACACACTTCACTCTTTACCGCAGCGAGTGATGCCGTCGCAGCCCTTGCGCCAGATGAGGAAGCACTTGCAGGAGCTGCAGAAGAAGTCGTATCATCTTAGAGTAGTACTTTGCTTACACAACCACGACTAGGACTACGACTACCGCGTCTTTAGTGAAAGTAAATATTTCCAGCACCTCTGCGATGCAGCATGTTTATTGAACATAAGTCCAATCAATCCGGTTCTTCCAAAAATCTATCACGTTCTAATTTTTCCATCAGTAGCTGCATAAACCTATCATGTATTTTGTAGTTTATTGAGCGTTTTAGGCACAGAAACCAATCTAGGCCTTTAGGCTTAGGACCTACTTCCTTCTCGTTCTTGTTCGAAGCATCAAAATTCAAAACTTTATCACCACAAAATACAAATACAGCCTTTCGTCCACCCCACGACCTTAACTATCATTTCCACCTCTACCTTCTTCAGCAGCCAAGTCATCCCTCGAAGAAACTCCAGATGTCGCGTTTTCCAGAGCGCCAGCCGGTCTAGGTGGTCGCCAGTCAGTCCGACAATCCAAGCACTTGATGAGTAACCTTGTCAGCGACTCGACGCGACGTGTGTCAGGTACGAAACCAAAGCTCTGTGCTTAGAACGAGCACTGTGTGGATGATCTAGATTTTTATCTACTTATCTCGCACAGATCTCAGTGCAGACTGCCGCACTAAGAGAGCAGGACACATCAGCACGAAGACCGGCAAACTCCTGCGCATCTTCGCACATCCGGCGCATGGTAAAGATGCGCTCACACTCACTTGTCTTAGTGAATCTAATATCCTCGTTATCTAATCATGTAGATGTGTCCATCTCTAGCGTAATCGTGGTTGCTCTATTTTTCCAAAGCTACAATCGTTCTACTTGTGCTTTTTTCTTGACCTTCACGTCACAGTGATAGTCTTGTGGACAGTGGATTAAGAAGGCGACCCTTAAGATTATTTTCAAGTTTGCTCGGTCTGCGAATTCCTCACGAGAATCAACTATCCTTGTGATCTAAATATCCTTGTGATCTAATGTAGATGTGCTGTCCATCTCTAGCGTGCTAGTAAGTTGTTCCATTCCAATGCAATAGCATGCTCGGTTATTTCAAGTTTACGAGTATACTTCTTCTAGCCTTAAAATAGGAATCGCAACTGTCTCAGGTACTCCCGAGACAGATGGTTCAGATCCTCTTGTAGCAAGTACCCGCCATTCGCCGAAGAGGAGATCGACAAAAACTTCGTGGATTGGCATTAGAGAGCATCTCCTGGATCTGGACGTTCTAGTAGTAGAATTAAGTTCTCATGATTCATCTGTTTCTGATGTTCTTATCATAATGGTTCACCTTCACATGTGGAGAAGATCATCATGTGGGACTAGTAAGTATGTCAACACATGTCGTGGAGCTATTTTACTGGTACTGGCCATAAGAAGCAGCCGGCGTCAGTAATCGCACTGCTGATGGAATCGTCGTGGTGCTGCTATTTGAACTAGAACGCTTTCGCCCATCGAAAAACATCTCAAAATGTTTCAAAATGAGAAATTCCAACACTCGAAACTTCGATGCATCGTCTGCGGCACAAGAAGCTAGGAGTGCGTTCAAATTTTTCTTTACTGCGTAGGGGTCTCGGAGTTTTCCCCAATCAAGACCAGGCACGCCACTGCCAAATCCAACATCGACTATGGGCTCATAGACTGGCAGGAGTTAGAGGAAGTCCTTGCATTCATCAATGTCTATGTTTATTTTTCGGAGTTGTGACAAAAACAATTTGATTCTTCGCATGCGTTCAAGTGATGCTTGTTTCGATGTTTTATAGATGAAAAACGTTAAGTACTCCTTTCTAAACTGAATGATAAGAAAGTTGCTGTTGATGTATGCCTAGAAGTCGAAGTGCTATGCTCTCTATAATTATTCCGGTTGTTCAAGCCGTAAAAAATGTACCCTGATCCACTTGTTCTTCCTTCCAACGAAGCTCCTTCGCTACTACATCCCCCTGCCCCCTCTTCGATGTCGTAGTTCAATAGAGGCCGATAACGATACTCACGCATCTCCAGTCCTCCTGCAGCGCTTGTATTAGACGTAGAGCTCATTCGGTGTTTCTCTTACCCGTTTGTTCTCCTCTTTAGCTTTAGGGGAGCCAAAAGAAGCATCGACAGAAGTAAGTACGTAAAACCTCCTACCCGTAATTGTACTCGCCACAGTGCTGGAGGTACTAGTTCTTGTACTGCCTGTTGATGTAGTGGAAGGAAAGATGTCAGAGCATGACCCAGAAAGCTGGCAAATAGGCCAGCATGCAAATAGGCCAGAGGATGCGGAGCCGCCATCGCCCAGAGTCGGAAGTTCTGAGACTAGTCGAACTTCCAGAGGTGGGCCCAGGTCTACATGCATCAAATGGTTCAAATACATGTTTGTCAGAAGTCGACAAATGACGACTCTCAATGCAGGAGGGAGCTCCCTCTGATTCCGCGCATGCTCTAAACCGCTTCCGCCCAACAGTGCTGAAGTTAGTGGTAGTAGGAGTAGGGAAGGTCCATTTAGACTTTGACTGAGAGTGCTGAAGTTAGTGGTAGGAGTAGGGACGTATAAATATGATGAAGAATTTCCATTTAGACTTTGACTGAGAGTGCTGAAGTTAGTGGTACTAGGAGTAGGGACGTATATGATGAAGAATTTCCATTTAACAGTGCTGAAGTTAAAGTGGTACTAAGAGTTGTAGGGAAGTATATGATGAAGAATTACATAAGTAATTCTGAGAGGAGTTGAATTAAGTAAAAAGTATTTAGAGCATCGTCATCATCCATCACTGAGAAGTGGGAGTAACAGGCAATTCAATGTTGTACATAGAAAGAGGAGGACCGAGGACCACGCCAAACTCTAATATATGGGAAGAATATCTGAAGAGGAACAATGTGGGATGCCCTAACAGAAGTAGTAACTCGTAACCCAATTCTGATTTGAGCCTCAGAAAAGGGTTAATGGCTCGATCCAATGTCAACTCAGCGAAGAGCTCTAGTTGGGCAATGATCCACCTTCCTAGTATGCGACGCAAGTCATTAGGGAATCCAACTCCATCTTGGAAGTCTTCTTGGACCCGTTTCCTCCTTACACGGGAGGTCCAAGGTGCTTCTCAAATAAATGGGAGATTCCCGGAAGTCTTAAAGTTCGCAGCTTTTTTTCGTTCTCTAGTGAACGAAGCTGCTGTATTGATGGTCGAAAAAGCTTTCTGCCACGAAAGCCTCCTCTTGTCGCTTGTGGTGCTAGTAGGAGCTGCTCCTTCTACTCGTGTACCAGCACCTCCAAAAAACCCACCTGCTGGCTGTAACGAGCCTTGATGTTTTGTAGCTGCGGCTCCTGTTGTGCTAGAAGAGGTAAAAACTGTATCAGAACTAGTAAAGTTTTCGTCTGCAAAGATGTCGCTCAGGATGGCGTAGACACGCCCGTCACTATGTGTAATCTGTTGTAGTTCCAACGCTGTTGGTGGCTCGAAGAAATAGTTCATCTTTTTAGGTGTGGAGGTGGTCGAAGATGAGTGCTCCTCTTTATTTCCTACGAAGTTCCAAGTTACAAGAATCTCATCACTTTTTCCTCTTGCGAAGGACACTAGCATGCGGTCGCGGCAAAGTCGTTCACAAACAAGCTCCTGCAGACTCGCGACACCCCGTTCCTTACATGAACACAAATTCAGTAACACACGTAGCAAAGCGACGGCACGTGGGCCGGCTGTTTAGAGTGAAGGGGTGTACTATAAATACCAATGTAGTTCTTGATGGATTATTTGAATGTTGGGTGATTCCTTGTTAGCTTGAGATTGGGTTACTCAGCATCTTAGTTGTAATGCTTGTAGTTTCCATCATCGGATCTGGTGAGTAATCTTCTCATAATTTTTCTTGATCAGGTTGCAGACGCGGTTCAACGTGCTCGCTACGTCCAAGGATTTCAAGGTCTCAAGGTTTCCTGAGCACAGTGCCGCATACGCGTCCTCTGCTCCAACGTTCAGGGCAAGGAGATTCACGATGGCCTGCGACTTTTGCTGCACCATGGCCTCTGAGGGACCGTAGCCGCGGAATGCTGCACGCAAACACTGCAACAACAATTGCAGAGCTGCGCGAGCTTCGCTTTCGGACTTGCTGATCAAGATTGTTGGACTTTCCTCAATGCGAGCGCCGGGGTCAATCTTCTGGCCTCCTGCACTGTTATCCGACGCGAAGGCTGCGAAAGCGCCGTACTTCCGCAGAGACCTTGGATCACCGTCCACAAAATACAACCCGCCTAAAAGGTCGACGGCGTCGAGCAGAGTCTGCAGCAGCCCGGTTTCGCAAACTGCTTGCTGTTTCCTCTCTAAAGCACTTGAGGAATTCATCGGGTCTAGAAGGAGAGGATCAGCAGAAGCAGCTCCGTTAAAAACACTAGCAGACGGAGAGGCTGTACCAGTTAGAGTGAGAGCGTCCTCTACAACCTCACTCATTATTTCGTCTTCTTCCTGCTCTTCTGCCTCATCTCCAGTACTATACACCTTTGTAGCTCGTTCCTGTAGCAGGTCATGCAGAAGTTTCCGGAGACACGCTCCACCAGCCATGCGCTCTAGGATGTGACCTACTGAAGACACGAAGCTCTGTAATGCTAGTCTTTCCCTCCTCAAGTGCTCCTCCATCTGAGCTGCCCTTTCTAGTGCTGTCGGTCGACGTTTCGCGCCATCGGCTGTGACGATCATCTGCGTCTTCGCCCGCGAAAAGGCTGGCGTCGGCGCGCCACCTGCTCCAGCAGCTGCTGCGTCCTTCCTGTCAATCATGCTACCACTCGTGCTGTTCTTTGCGTCCGTGGCACCAGTGATAGTAAAGGTCACGACAAGAGGACATTGCATGCTTCAGATCATCCTTCACCTGTTTATTCCCCCTTGAAAAGCGGTGGCCAAGGATGGTGGTGAAGATGAAAGCCCTGTCATCTACTCTGAGGTAACCCACCCTTGCTACTTAAAAATTAAAATACTAGGACTACAACTCTTGTATTCGACGTCAGTATTTGTACACCTTGCCAATTGCTGCAACGTCACCTGTAGCGCCTCCCTCACTTGGACGCACGTTTCTACAGTGGCCACATCGTCTGGGTCCGCCCTTAATATCGTCAAAGTATTGTGATCTCCCTGCCCAACCGTCCCGTGGTTCCCAGTCTGATGGTGATGCTGCTGTTGCGGTATAAAGACGTGTCGCTCTCTATGAAGCCAAAAAATCTGTGATCATTATCTTTATCGACGCACTCTATTTCTACGTCGTAAGAAACGTGATAGATAAAAGATAACAGATTTTCGCTTCATACTCTTCATCCAAATGTCCGTCCTCTACTCCGTCTTCCATCGGTTGAAGAGCATCGTCTTCCTCCCCACCTGCCGCATTTCGGTCGACTAAGGACATAAACAGAGTGCCACCACCGTAACAGGTGCTGGCGCTAGACCCGCCCGGAACAACTATCATTAGATGAACTCGAATCAATTCACTTCTTGTTGCTTGCATCTCATCTCC